TGCTGATGATGCCTTTGGCCGGACAGGCAAGAAGCTTGATTGATAGCAATCAGCTGTTGATGCCCTTTCGGGCCAGCTGCATCCTTAGCCCTTTGGCTGCCACTGTTTCCGGATTTCTTCTGGGAGGGGTATTTATTTTTGGAACTGTTTTTTGTTTTGTTTTTTTTGTTTTTTTGTTTTTTCCCCGTTTTTGGCTTCTTGGCTTCTTGGCTTTTCGGCTTCGGCTTCTCGGCTTCTGGGCTTTTTGTTGGTTTATGCGGCTTTTGGCGGCTTTGGCTTTTCGCATCCTCTGCTTTCACAGTTCCGCTCTGGGCTTTGGGTTTTTGGATTTGGCTTCCCGCATCATCAGCATCACCAGTTCCTCCCTATTTGAATCATCACTTCTTCGAACATCATGAAAGGGAACCCCCCCAAACCCACCCATATCTGTTTAGATTGTTTGCAGGGTAATTGCAGCCCTATTTGAATCAACATTTCTTCAAACATCATGGGGGGGGCTGCCGCCCCCCCCCCGCTACTTTTTAGATTTCTTGCAGAGATTGAATTGCACCCCTATTTGAATCATCACTTTTTTCGAGCGTCCAATTTCGCGAGAAAATGCTGTACAATACGATATTTTAGGTAGTCTGTGTAATCCATGTATGTCTGTATGTATGCACTTCTTCGAACGTCATAGGGGAAGCCACCCCCGCCAACCCTCCCGCTGCCTTTTAAATTCTATCGCACCCTACTTGAATCATCACTTCTTCCGACATCATGGCGGGGGCTGCCGCCCCCCCCTCAACCCCCCCACCACGTTTTAGATTTTCTACAGAGATTTAATTGCACCCTAGTTGAATCATCAATTCTTCAAACATCATGGGGGGGGCGGCACCCCAACCCCCCCGCTACTTTTTAGGTGTTTCTTACAGGGACTGAAATGCTTCCTAGTTGAATCATCATTTTTGTTGACCCCGTCAACCCGCCAGCTACTTTTTCGATTTTGTTACCCACAATTTGTTGGTGATGCTAGGGATGTTGCTGGGGATGTTGACGGGCTAGTGTAAAATGCGTCAATTCCGCGAGAAAATGCTGCAAAATACGACATTTTACTGGCCCGGGCGAAAATCGAAAGGGAACAAAAATCCGCACCCTTTCTTCCGAGACCCGTTGGTGTTGGCTTTCGCACGCAGGTTTCCGTCAAGGGGCAATTCACAGGGTGTTCAACTTGTGGTTTAAGCAGGCTCAAGCAGGCGGTTGGCGCAAGAATGGCAAGGAGGAGGGTCGTGATTGCCATCTCATTTTGGCCCTAGCTGTTTGCTTGCTTTTACAGTCCAGCACGCGGAAACCCAATGTGCGCATAAAGTGGGTCCGTACTTCAGCCTCGGGGCCCCCATATTTTCAACTGAAGCACCGCCCCGCCACAACGAATAGCATCAACCAACAGGCCGTGTTTCAAGAACTCCGCAGGGTTGCCCCAAACTGACGGGCGGTATTCCTCGTTTCGAATGACAGCAGTTTCGGGGAGCAACTCATCATGAACTGCAGTGGGTGTACCGATCATACACATGTAAGATACAACACTTATGACGTGATCAGGAACTCATTTAATGATGTGTCATTGTTCCTATTAGTTTTAGAAGGTATTTGTTTGGGGCACCCAAAGCACATGGACATGGTTTTCCTTTTGTTGACTTGTCAGCACTGGTCGTTTGCCCGGCAAACTAGGTCAGTCCATTGATGCAAGGGAACTGCATCATGGGTGAGACGCCTTCCTGTAAACCCACCCAATTCATGCCAGGAGAATACCCATTCCCCAAACAACAAATAAGGTCTCCACAAGCAAGGTACCTTCGTTGTGGCTGAGCTTTTTTGTTTACTCCAAGGTGAGCTCGGTATAACTTGCTCCAGATACCCATTAAACCACCCCCCTCCCCAGATGCAGGAGACAATGAGGAAGGCTTTATTGACAAGGCGTGCGCCTCAGGGAGCTTTGGGATGGGAACTGCGTGCATGGCTCCCCATTCCTTCTTTGGTGGTTGAACATACAGTACATAGAATCACAGATCGATCGATGAATTGGGTTTTACGCACAGTCAGAGGTATCAGTTGCATTGAGCACCCGTGAAAAAGAATGTTTTTGTTCCCCCTCATGTGCGGGTCCCTGCGCATGGGCTGTGACTTGCATTTCACAGAGGCACCATTTGACAAGGGAAATGTATGAGGCCATCAGCAAAGCACTGCCAAAGTAAAGAAGGCAGTTTTGGTATTTGGTGGGTAAGAGCCCCAAGCAACCACGATGAATTACACCAGCGTGTCGACTGAATTGCGGCAATGGATCGGAGGCGCGATTGGAGATTTTGGCACTTGGGCACGGACTTTGGCTGAGGTAGACTTTGAGGGCGCGTGGTTCCCCAACGAAGTTGCATGCCTGGCGCTCAATTGACAGTGTGACATGGGCGTGTCTTAAATTTGGGCCCACAAGTGGGTGATTCCTTCAGTTTCTCTCAGTAAAGAGCATCTCTCCTGCTTTGGTGGCTGGGAGAAACTCAGAGTAGCTTTCTTCCCCTTTGACGAGAAACAGTCCGAGCAACGCGTGTTCGCCCTTTCCTCTAGTGGAAGGGATATTGGTTTGACTGAAACCCTAGAATGGTTGGTTTCCTTGGGGTTCTCTTCAAAACCAAACAGAAGGGGGTTCCCCTAAGAATGACGCTCATAATTTGAGTTTCTCTCTAGTCTAGCAATCTTGGCTTTACCTCGCCTGGCCTTGCTTGCCTAGGTAGCGGAGTGAAAGTGGATATTGCCACCGCCAACGCCTCAAATGAGGACGCTTTTCGCTGCTCGCAACTTACATGCAACAGTGTTTCCCTTTGAATGTGGGGCTCCCTTTGAATGGGCCCCCAAGCCATTGACCATGTAGCTCTCTCGCCGGTCAGCGGCGCTGTGAGAGCCGGCCATCAACAGGGGGAAACGAATGCAAGCGGGTAGGTCTCCGGAATCAAGCCGCCAATTTTGCACAGCAGGACGACAAGTGCAACATTTTGCGCGGCGGCCCCAGAAGCTTCGATGGCCTGTGTAGCTGTGAGAGGTCAAAGAGGTGGCAACTGTTTTTTTGTGAGTTGGTCCAGTTGGTCCAGCTACCACTTGATTTTGGCCGTACTTAAGAAGGTCTGTGGGACCATGATAAAACGAAACCCACAAAACTCAAGACCACAAAAACGTGAAACAAACAAAAGCACATGTTCGAGTATTCTGAAATGTTTCACTTAAAACAATGTACTGTTTTCAGAAAGGATCCGACAGATCTTCTTAGTTGTCTTTGTTTTTGACTTTGTCGTTTTGCTGTAAACCGCTACTTGATAATTCGCCAAACCACAAGGCTTTTAAATACAGCCAACCAATTGGCGTTGCCCAACAGCAAAAAACAGGGGCGCCCCATTCGGAGGGTGCGGATCGCAGTGTAGGGCGTGGGCACCCATTTAAGGCCTGATCATCGGGGAGACCGACCCCAGCAAGATGCCGCAGCCTCCGGAACGGGCCTCAAGCTACCGGCAAGCCGCGTTTTAGGTTCTCACAGGGTTCTCTAGGTAGGTGGTTTTAAGCATCACCTCCTGGGCCAGGTAAATTGGAGTTTCCTTCGGGTGGGGAGATGCATATTTCCCATTTGGATGCCGCGAGTTGGGTTCACGATCCCGCTTTCCGGGGGTTCCAGGGTGCAAATCTGGGTGGTGCTTTTCAGACCATCTTATTGAACCCACCCCCTCCCCTCTCAACTGAAAATGTTTTTTTTCTTGGAGAGGACTGATCGCACAAAAGCATTGGCAAGATATGCCACACTTGTCCGCAAGCATGGTGTTGGGACATGCACAACAGCCAGAATTTGGTAGTTCCCCTTGAACACTTCAGGAAGAGTCAAACGGAGGATGCTCAAGATATCGTTTACAGATGGTCAATGTCTAAGCAGGTGGCTTTTTTGCTGCACCACTGTTCTTCTGCTTCGAGCTGTGGTTGCGAAGCCATTCGAAGCTAGGCTTCGTTCAGCATGATTTGAAGTATCAGTGGTACTTAGTGACAGGCACTGTTTGGTTGTGAGTGGCAGCTGCCTTATGCGCCGGGCCCCTTTCTAGCGGTTTCCCACTGAGGACGAAGGATTGGAATTGGCCAAGCCTGCAGTTTGAAGCGCCCAAATGCAAGAAGCACAGCTTCGAACAAAGCGATTTCCTCGCTAAAGCTGTGACAGAGAGCCCAACCTGAGCTCAAAGGCTTGCAGGCCAAGGGCGGCAGCCATGGGGACGAACAAGTGCCAGATTCACAAGTCGATGAAGGCAAATGTTTCAAGACTCGTTGGCCCGCTTGTGGGACGGTTGAAGCGGGGCCAGCATGTTCTTATGTGAAGGAGCCCTTTTCCAGACATATGTCCACTAGGTGCTTCCGAGTGGGCTGGCCAGTGCCTTGAGTAGGGCATCTGCCGCAAATGGCTGGGCTGACATCCAGGAGTACCAAGACACTTCTCGGGCTTCAGAGTGAAGACCCACACCCTCCGTTGACACACACACACACAGGGGGAAGGGTTTGGGCGTTTTATGTAAATCTCGCGCCGACTCGCTCTCCAGGCCCAGCACGATAAGTACGATGAAGTCAACTGCGAGGAGCTTAGATACTTCCCACTTCACGAGTTTATCGACTTTAGTTATGCATTTACAATAATATTGTTGTTGGCCTCTCCATTCAGGAAGTAACTCCTTTTACAGTTTTCAGTTTAGCACCTGGCGTCGGATTTCGGCACCTACTCACATTAGCAGAATCGCCTTTGCTATGCGGATTGCATGTACTACAGCAGATATCCGCTGGAATTGATTCCTTTCTTTTTGGTTAGATTCTGGAACACTCCATGTGAGTGTATGCGCTGGCTACCTACGTACTCTGCAAATGTGCAGACATGTTGGCAACCATGAGTCTCTGGGATCGTTCGCCTGCTCACATCCGCCTGTCAAGCCCAGCATGAGGCTATGATGTGAAGGACTAGCCTCCCTTGCACCAACATGGGCCCTGTCCAGGGGGCGGTCCTTTCAAGCAGATAAATGTATCTTCCAGGTTACCTGGAAGATAGGCCCAAAATTAGGACTCAATGGCATAATCGGGGATCGCCCCTTCGCCCTCCCTTGGTCAATTTCAGGCACATTCCTGGACCTTGAGATGTTTAGCGTGAGGGAGTCATGATAGAACTCACCAAAACTTCTGTTGTCACAAGGGAATCTCACAAAGCTGAGAACTCAGGGAGTGAGAAGGTGAGGGATGGTAAAAACGAGGATGCCCCTGGAGAATCCGTGGCTTAGCAACTACCTCGATCAGGTGCCATCCACCGGGTCTTTGCGCCGATGGCGATGCATGATGCGGCACAGGAGATCGGATCTTTGGCCAGGGAAGTTCCATCCTGTTGCTGCGGACTTCAATGGGGGAACCCCTCAGAGTCCTCACCTGAATCATGTCCACCAACGGGCCCAAACGATTCTGCGGAACCAACAACTCTGTAGATCAACTTTGATTAAACAAAACAAAAACACGTGGAACGTGCGTTCCTCGCGCGAGCGATTTTCCCGAGTCTAAGCTTACAATTCGCCCTGCAGGATGGAAACGTGCAAGAGGTGGAGCGCTTGCTCTCGGCGGGATTGGTGGACCAAGCCTCAGCTGGGATGTTTTGTGAGTCGGTGCCTTTTTGTGGGGGTGGGTGAAAGGGATGCCAACAGGAACCCCGCAAGTGTTCGAGGTCCCGTTGTGTATGCGTGAGATGTTTTAAAGCATTCATGATGTAGCCTCATGAGTTCTTTTCTTTGATTTGATTTGTTTGCTGGTCCGGACGCAACCATGGCTATGCTTCAAGGCCTGCTTGCTTGCTTGCTTGCTCGTTCGCTCGCTCGCTCGCTCGCTTGCTTGCTTGCTGTCGCTCGTTCGGGCAGTTGGTTGGTGGGTGGGTGGGTGTTTTGTGTGTTTGTTTTTGGTTTGTTGGTTTGTTGGTTTGTTTGTTTGTTTGTTTGGTTGGTTGGTTGGTTGGTTGGTTTGGTTAATAAGCATGCAGTATTTTCCCACAATTCATTCAGCTTCCAGCCACTCAGGTTCCGACCCGATTTACTGGGGCTTGGGGGTTGGTCATGATTCATCTACGTTTTTAGACAACAAAGAGTTTCTAGGAAGGGAACCGTGACCATTGTTGATCATGGCACGCATGCTAGCCCAAAGATTACTTCACTCCCCCCGTGATTTACTGGGATATACAGCCACTACCTAGCCAGGTTTTCCATAGTATCCCCCACCCTTTTTATGAGTAGTTGGTTGGGGCCAGTGGATAAACACTGGCTTTACATGGCACATTTGGAGCCCCCCAAATGTGAAGCCACCGGCTGGCGCTTCACTAGGACCTGGCCGGCAAGCCCACGCGCAACTCAGCGGGGGAGACGCCAGGGGCCCGGTTTGAGCCCAAAGCAAAACAAATTGACAATCCCCTCAGCCACAAACAGTGGAGCCAACCCAAATTGTGGCTTCCAACCTGTCTCTTCTTTGGTGGAATCGCTGGAACCAGGTCATGCGCTTGTCTAAATCGCAGTTGTACAGTGGCACCGCACCTGCGTTTTTCCTGTTATTGGGATGTTGGAAACCACAATGACGATGGAGCCGCTTAGGAGTGGCACCTTTAAGTTTTCATTTAGCTGGCTTCGCGACCCACAACTTAAATGGAGTCAACTCTCCAAAACGACTCGAGGTGCGCATTGGGGTGACCGGGAATAGGGTCCCAGTTTGCAAACATGCGTTCGGGATTGCCGAGCATATCAGTAAAGCCGCTAAAGCCGGTGACCCGACGCCCTGGTTTAAGCTCAAGGCGCCTACAGAAAAGGCCCAGTCCACCACCAGGTATGAAGCGCGGCCCCCACGTGATGTAACGCGCACCCAGAGACAGCATGGAAACCACGGCAAAGTGAGCCAATGAGCCAAACCTAGCAACTGCAGCGCCGAGCGATCAGCTAGCGCGGCCCACCCTCCGGTAGGTTGCTTGAGCCAGGCTGTCACTGAATAATTGGGGCAAAGAGCAGCAAAAGCGGGAGTTGGTGGCTTCTGTTTGTGGGAAAGCCAACAACTTGTTTGGATGAAACTGAAGGCGAGTAAAAGCAAGTTGAGCCGTATTCAGGCATGTTGGCTGAGTGTTGGCGCGAGCATCGCTGTTGATCTGAGATAGTTGAACCGCGCAAGTGGAGGCCGAGCGCAAAGGATTTGCAAAAGAAACCCAAAGAGGGTGACTGTACAGTTACTTGACCCACTCTCTCACGCCCTTGGAATCTATGAGAGTGCTGGCCACGGAATTTCTTTGCTTGCCACCGCAGCTGAGGCCGCTGTTTGCTGCCTGCGCCAATGGGCGTGTAAGGGCCTCAATAGTCGAGAAACGAGAACGTCGCATGCAAGCAGAAGGGAAGACACCCCCTCTCAAAAGGCAGCCCATGCCTTATATGTTTAAAATAGTCAAAATAAGCCAGTTTCGCAACCAACCCTGCCAGAGGTGGTTGCGGGAGATGCAGTCAACAGGTCTCAATTTTGAGCCAAAGCTGCCCATCTAAATCAAGGCAAGTTGAAGCCCTTTTTTCTTTGAGTCGGGGCATCTGAACTGTGAGGAGTTTTGCTTCTCTTCAGGGAATCACCGTTCCTTGGGTCTGGGGTTGCTCCTTTCGCCAGAAGATGGCTGCAGCATTCAAGCGAGAAGGGGTACGACGCATTCCAACTGACTATGACTATTTTCTCTGGGGGAGCTCAAAGATCTGTGGTTACATCCATGTAGATCATGTCCAACGAAGGGTCTATTTCCAATTGAAGCGCATACAGCCTCAGGCCTATCTCCCCCTCGCACGAGCCGCGCTCAAAGGCTAAAAACATGAACCCATGGTGTGATCCCCCGCCCCCCCCCCCCCCGCTTTATGCGTGAGTTCACCAATCAATCAATCAATCAATCAATCAATCAATCAATCAATCAATCAATCAATCAATCAATCAATCAATCAATCAATCAATCAATCAATCAATCAATCAATCAATTAAGAGCTAATGGGTCTGCCAAGTTGATGGCAAGCTCATCGATTTGGGAAATGATTGAAAGCTCATGACGTTTCTTTTACTTGGTTGTCCAAGGCTTAATAGGCTTAACTCAGTACTTAAAATTATTGTAGATTTGGCAGATGGGTTCATATATGGACCTCTTCTAGTAGAATTTCAACTGAGAACCAAAAGGTCTCAATCCATATCAGGGGTCCCCTATTCTTACAAAACAAAAAACACACAACAAACAAGCATGAGTCGATACAATCAGCCGTTGAGTTGTTAAAACTCGCAGGCCCAGATGGTGCAACTGCTCCTTGAGAAGCGTGCGGCCGAGCTGGCAGGTTTACCCTCGGGTAGTCCCCGCCCAGAGGGTTGCTCGCTTTCCACTTGTTTTGGGGGATGGGTTTCCCTCAAAATAAACAACAAACATGGGGCCATTTGTTCCCTAAGCGCACTGGGCGTCTGAGTTGTTCAAAATCAATCGTTGATCCTTATGCCAGATGGTAAGGGGTTCCCTTGTACTGGTGCCCCACTACGGATTACGGATTTTAACAACCCAGCTTGTTTTGTCCCTCACAGGGGAAGCCACCATTTGTCAGCTTCCATGTGTTTGTAACTGGAAGCAGAGTGACACCCATATTATGCTTTCAACAGCCACTCAACAAGGATTACAAAACCACACAACAGAGGAAAGCCTCTTCTTGGGAAGTGTTGTATCACAGGTACAGAGTCTTCAAGCAAGTAAGCAAGGCCTATTGACAGTGTTACCACTTGCTCACATTGCTACACCTGCATGCTCGTCATGGTACAGGCTGGCATTACTGATAAAGCGCAGGGTCCAGTTTCCCACATGTGCTCAAGCTCGAGCTAATTCTATTCCCACCAACCTGCCCAGTGATTTGGTCCTCTTCAACAGAACTTCCAGTGGTTCCATGTTCGTAAGGGGGAACAAACAGCCGAAAAAAGACTGCTGTCAATACGGATCACACACCGCTGCACCTTGCGCTTTCACCAGTAACTCTTGACGTGTGATTGGGCGTGCCCGGATTCAGCGCTTGGTCAGAGCCTCTACAAGATGATGATACCACAACGATAGAAGATTGGCAAAGCATGTCCCTTTGCTTTGCCACTAAAGCAGGGGTCCGAAATGTCTGCCACTGTGCCGTTCTTTGAGGGAAGCACTCACATTCCTGTTGTTGTTGTTGCCATGCGAAAAGATCCGCCCTTCGGCATCTTGGAGCATCCGAATCCATGCGGCCCCCGGCGATGGCCTTCCGCTGCCTGCGGCTTTCCGTCGCCTTGGCCAAGTCTGCCCGGACTTTCTCGGGCCCAGCCTTGGACAGGCCCGTTGAAGGTGAGCTTCCCTTAAGGCTGATGTTGTAAGATGCCCGTGGGTCAAGACCAATGGGAGGATCCCATTTTGGTTGGTAGGTGCACCACCCATTTTAGAACCTATTTTAGAGTTGGGATTGGGATGTTCACTGGGGGTACGGGGTTGTGACCCATAGCCAGATGGAAAAACATGGGAATCCTGTTTACTTGATCAGGATGACTGTGAACCTAGCCCTGAGACGATCGAGGGAGCAACCCTGGTGGGTATAAGCTGCCCACTATCCGTATAAAGCTGCTTGTGCTTCGTACGATTTGTCAGGTGTTGTTCTTTAGTTTGATGTTTATGTTTTCTCAGGGGCTGCAAAGAACAGCGTTTATGCGGACCTACCAGGTGTGGAAGTTACTGGGGTCATTGCCTCATTCACAAGGTGAGAGTGCATTGCAGCACACTTAGGCGTGTGTACAACTACGATGTGGGCCCCAACGTGAAGAGTTGTTTATTTTCTGTTTTCTGTTGGATCTTTTTTAGCCACCCTACCAAGGGTACTGTAAAGCAAGCACGCACAGACACAAACAAACAACCAACCCGCCAACCAAACAAACAAACAAACAAACCAACCAACCAACAAACAAACAAACAAATGCACAAATACACGAATCACAAAAACACAAATAAACAAAGAGACTGCATGCAATCAACCAACCAAACAAACAATCCAACTCACAAGCCAACAAGCTAACAAACTAACAAACTAACAAACTAACTGCAAGCAAACCAACAAGCAAGCAGGCAAGCTTGCAAGCAAACAAAGAAACACAGAACACTCAGAACACACACAAACAAGCCAACCAACCAACAACCAAACACAAACACAGACCAACAGACAGACAAACAAGCAAAACAAACAAACAAACAAACAAACAAACAAACAAACAAACAAACAAACAAACAAACACACACACACACACACGCACACACACACGCACACACACACACACACACACACACGCACACACACACACACACACACACACACACACACACACACACACACACACACACACACACACACACACACACACACACACACACACACACACACACACACACACACACACACACACACACACACACACACACACACACACACACACACACACACACACACACACACACACACACACACACACACAGACACACCACACACACACACACCACACACACACACACACCACACACACACACCAGACACACACACACACCACACACACACACACCACACACACACACACCACACACACACACACACACACCACACACACACAAAACACAGACAGACGCAGACGCAGTTCAGACACAGCCACAAACACAGTTGAAGGATCCCCAAGCCCTTGAGGGCAGGACACCCTTCTTGTTGCTTGAGTTTGCCGGGGAGGGGGGACGGCCTCTCCATTGCAAACCTGCCACTTCCCAGACATGTCATTCCCCAACGCAGAAACTGCCCCTTTCGAACTACGCAGTGGGCATCACGCAGGCCACGGCACCTGCCGAGCTGGGTCGGGGCACAGCAGCTGGTGGTCGATCGCGCCTGGCGCAGCTGGCAGCAGGGTATCGAGGTGCGCGAAAAGGAAACTCCCCCATAGGACTTGTTTTGCATTTTGAGAAACACCCCTTTTTCTTTTCAAAGGGAAGCCATTGGAAAAACCATTTTGAAAAAAGACCTTTTTTTTAGGGAAGCCGCTTGGGGTTACCAGACCTCCGGCAGGCAGAGCACCCGGAGCTGGGGGAGCTTCGGGTGGCGCTGAGGCGCTGCTTCCTGGTGCAGAAGGTCTACCGGCGCCTCGCCAAAAACCGTTCTTCGCGCGAGACGCACGGCTCTTGTTTGCTTCTATTTTTGGTTGGGCTTGGGGCAGGGTGCTTTTGGGCTTGTTGTTGCTGTGTTCGGCTTTTTCGACTCCATGGGTCCTCGATTCTTTTCGCGTAGAACAACGAGTTCCCGTGTCTTATAATCGGGTGAAAGCAGCTTCAAAGTAGATGGCCCTGTTTGTGGGTTTCTCCAAGCAATAACAAGTGGAAAGAGTTTACAGTTGGGCGAATGCGCTGGTGGGACGTGGGCCATAATTGGGGATCTCTTTTCAACTTATGCTCCAATTGGTTGAAAGTAGATGCACAGTTCCACCGGACTTTTGGTTTGATCATCCCTGTTACCAACAGAAAGGGAATTGTGCAATCTACGTTCACCCTTGGTGTGCAGTAGAGGGCCAGCACTTTTAAGAAATGAGTGTTGTTGAAAAGAAGCACGACGAACGGTGGATGAAATTTCTAGTCCGGCGCTCGGAGGGCGAGATCCCACCTACCCATGGCTTAGTCCTTTTGATGCCCGGTAAAAATGAAACAAACTGCAGGGAAAACAAAACAAAACACAACGGATGGCCGCGAGTTCCATGGGTTTTCTTTCCTGGTACCCTCGCCTTTTTGGGATCACCCAAAACTGGTCGCCAGCATTATAATTTTCCCTCGACAAAAGCAAAAATCGATTTGCTTACCTTTTGGTTTCTGTGTCGAGCAGGGTACCAACTCGAAAACCTAGCCAAATAGGAGCGTAGTTACAAGCCAAATGGGGTATGCGAGAACCAGCCTTAGAACGAATCCAATCCAAACGGCGTGTGGGGAGGTTGGACTAGTTGCCCTTGTTTTGGAGTTGGTTTCGACAAATCTCAAGGGGAATCCACAAGCTGGAAGGCCCAACTTGGGTAAATATATTTATATTATACGTATATAATGTATACATGTATGTATATTCGTGTGGATCGTTGATGGACTCATTGGCTATAATTGTTGGCGACATATTCTCTGTACTGTTGGCTTGATCCCAGGAAGGGGACAAGGCAAAACCCTCTCGAAAGCCCACAACAAACCAACACAAATCATCCTGAGACTCTGTTGGACAGAGGGGTCGCGACTATCTCATAATTCATCCGTACAGGTGTTGAAATATGACCTCCTCAAATTCAAATGTCGAGCTTTTTGGTGGTTTTACAAGCTATTAAGATCGAAAGGGGGTTCTCGAGTCATCGAACACCAAGTCTTGGTGAGAGTGTTTTCGCTCAAATCAGGGGACATTGACAGAAGACCAGCAAGGGATGAACTGTTTGATATTTTGCCCATCCGCCTGTTTTCATCTAGGGCTCCCTTTCTTAGGGAATCCCTAGTTGGGTTGGTGAGTTGGTGAATCATTGGAAGTAAGCCATATCTATGCTTAACTTGTGATCATCTACCCAGGTGAGTGGGTAGAATCAAACAACATCTGAAGCATTGGGATTAAACTGAGGCTTTCCCCTTGACCAAGCACAAAGCGTAGAAAGACACTTCCCATTCCAACAATTATATAATATAGACATCGACAGGATATTTGTGGAAGACTACCATCCTTTTGAACCGGCCCTTGGCCCCTTGTCCACTTCCGTGTTTTGTGGAAAGCGGGTATCCATGTTTTGTTTGTCTTTTCCGTTAGCCGCCAACTACACGCCAACCACACACCAACCAACCAACCCACCAACCAACCAGCCAGCCAGCCAGCCAGCCAGCCAGCCAACCAACCAACCAACCAACCAAGAACCAACACAACAAGTAAGTAACCACATTAATTATGGGTGTGTTTCCTTTTTCCCTTAACTACTGAGTTTCCATTTGCTTGAGTTTTGGCCACGAACGTCGCACGCAAGAAAACCCCAAAACACCGAGGCGCGCGCTGCGGGCCATGCTGCTGGGCCTGCTGGAGCCGGACTTGCTGGCACAGGCCTCCCGACAGGAGGATAGCGGCCAGGCGACGCGGCGAGTCGAGCGATGGGCGAGGTTTCCAGCCGTGCTCCAGAGCCGCGCCTTTTCTCGCTTTCTGCGGGCGACATAGCATGAAGAGGGCCCATGTTGCCCATGTCTGTTGAACTTACCCTTTAAAAAAACCCCGAAACGGGGGACTGTAGTTTTCTGTTGTTGTTTTTTTGCGTTTTGTTCAGAAGGCCCCGTTGAGCACTCTCTGTCTCACCCTAGAGTCCCGGCTGTTTGGGTGGCTGGTTCTTCAGGAATGTCATGGGACCTGTTGGAATTGGTCCCTTCTTTCCATCCTTAGACACTCCATGTCTGGAATGCGTGCGTAATTCTCACCCTGCACACCGAGCATGCTGGTACTTGTTGTGCTTGCACGGGTTGAGGGATTCGATGCATGTGGGTCTTGCGAGCACTGGTCCCATGTGCTTGCTAGGGTTTCCCGAGTTCACTTTGGTGAATTGTGATGATTCTGTGGAGACATGGGGGGGGTCTCTTTGGAGGGTGCCCATTTTGGGGTTGGCTTAAAGGGATAAACCACAGGAAAGCGACCCATGGGGGGGGGCCACGCCAGTTCCTGGGTTGGCCCAAGCCTCCCAGGCTGGATTTGTGTTTTGAGCACATCGTTCGACTTGTTACGTCCTTTCTATGTGTCGAAGTCGTTTACAAAACGCTGGGTGCTAAGCTGATCGGCAATTTATCAGTGTCCAAAACGAAAGGGAGCAAGGGGCACAATGCGCCTTTCCAGCTTCAGGTGGTGCCCTACGAGGACCTCATCCACCTGATCCCGGCGGAGCTTCTGAGCGACGAGTTGCTGGATGAGCTGCGCGGAATGGCACAGGACTGCCGAGTAAAGCACTCGACGAATGGGTCTGGCAACATGTTGGGTGCACCGGGGGGGGGGGGGGTTAGCCGGGAATTTGACCGGTCTACATCTTCTGCTTGCTCGCATCTTTCTTCACAGATTCAGCCATTCCAAGTTTGTGTACATGTTCGCTTGAGCGTCTGTTTGCTTCCCAGTCAGAAAACCAAGTCGCGTGAAGAAGATCGTGCTCGGTGTTCAACAAATTAAAATTCAATGGCCAACGATCAGGCTGCAATGAAATCTCAAGCACGACAGCCGCTACCAGCAAACTGTCTGAATACCAGGGATCAATCAGCCAGTAGTCTTGCAGATAAGATGAAGCGCAGGGTTGCCCAGCCAAGCGCAGCAGCAATATGAAGCATATGGATGCGAATGCCCTCCCGTCAAGGGTCCGCATGAGCCCGGCAGACTGCGTGAGAACTCTACACTACGAAAGCAGTTCACAACTCACGGAAACATTCCCCCCCCCACCCCCCCCCCACGAGAAGGGAAAGCCGGAAAAGGCAACAGTGGCGCGTAATCAAGATGTTGATCACTGAAAAAGGAACAAATATGTGATTTTCCCGGCTAACCCCCCCCCCCCGTTGACGCAACATGTTGCCGGGGATTTCCAGAGTTTGTTTCGCGGAATTACACATCTCATATACATGGGATCAAGATCGACTGTGGGATCCCATTGGAGCATGCTTTCTTATAGTGCTGCCCCCTTGGTTTGCTTCTGATTTATTCGGAATCCGCAGAAACCCAAAGATTGCTCCAAGCTAAGTCAACCAACAGAACGGTACCGCCTTGAAAATCATAAAGTAGCCAAGAGGGCGGCTGTGGATTTACCTTTCTGGAACCTAGTTGGGCATCATCTTGCATTCTGAGGTGCATTAAGTATGCAAGAATCTGTGTTGGCTTCAGTTGAGGCCAGAAGATTTTGCAAGCAACCCGGATCCAAGGAACTTTGATTATTATCAATAATGCGTCAGAACGAGCCGGGGCCCCCCTCCAGAAGGTTGGAACTGAAACCAAGCTACTCATTGGAAAGAGAGGGCTCCCTTGCTTAGGAAACATTCAGCTAAGGGCAAATTCCCAGTCTTTCCTAGGGTCCTTCTTTCCAGAAAACCATCAAACACCAGAAGAAAAAAAAGAAGAAAAAAACAGCTGGCGTTTGGAAAGAACGATACTTGAACAGAATGGCCAAGGAGTCAACCCCGGACCGAGTGTATTGTTCGCAAGTTTTTCTGATGCAATTCTCTTTTGGGTCAGGATGTGCAAATCGCCCAGCAGAAGGCGGAAGCAAGGAGGGACATGTTGCTGCACCAAGAGAGCCAGGACCCAGCTGCTTCTTGCTTTCAATCTTTCCCCGTTGTTTTTAGAGGTGTTGGTTGATTTCAAAGTCAAAGGGGTGCACCAGCCCTGTTTACTTTTCCTTTTGTGTTCCTCTTTTGATCTGGGGGCCGTCCTAAAACCCCAGTCTCGGCTTAATTGCCGCCGAAGGGGGAGAACTAACAATAGCCGAAACCTGTGCGCGTGCAAGGACACGCAAGAGCGGCCCAAGCGATGCGCAAGGTTCAAGTTTTAGAGAGTCTCATAGCTGACACGACACAGCTTCAAAATCAGCAGCTGACACGACACAACCCGATGCTGCTCGCAAGCACGAGAAGCCCCAGCAAGGCATCTACCCTTTTGCTGCCTCGGATGTCCTTAGCGGCGCTGTTCTGAACTGAGCCCTGAATATCCTTCGAATGCCTTTGCTTCTGGAAAGGCTCGCGCAAACCACACGAACGCCTTGCATAAGGTCGCGCGAAGACTTTTGTTCCTGCGTTGCTGCGCGCGCAAGTGGGTTGCAGCCAATGATTTTGGACTTCCCCAAGTGTCAAACTGAAGCTAAAAGGGGACATTCCTTTTCGACAGATCGAAGAGTGGTGCTTCTTTGGTCCAAGCACCGCTCGCAGGAGGAGGAGCCTGCGGAACCAGAGAAGCCCAAGCGGGTGCTGTGCCGGTCCACTCATGACAAGACCCGCCAGGATGGGCGAATGGGCATGGACACTTTTGAACCACCCATTTGTATGTGTTTTTGGAGGCTCGGTATCCTTTTTTTTGGGGCTCCCCTATTTTGGTGTATGCCCATTCCTTTTCTGGGAGAGGGTTCCCTTTGAATTTCAAAGTTATCGTACCAAGAGAAGGTGTATGTGTGTGTGTGTTTCTTCCTGGCCACTGGGGCTCTGGGTTCAGTGTCTGGACCTGGAGTACTTCCATATTTGGTTGTTCCGTGATTCGCAACAAAGAACAGGTCAACCCCGCAAAGGGCTCCCTTTGTCTACCAGGGCCTGAGAAACTGAGAAGGTGATTCCGATTCTGTACAGGGACAATGATGTTGTGTGTTTCTGTGAAGTGCTTTTCAGCAGGAAATTTGAACACGCCCACAACCAACAATACCTCCCACTGCCACCACCACCACCACGATCGCTGGCTTCACCACTGCTCATTGAATTTGGTCGCCCCCATTTGGTCGCCACTGCTGCCGCCATCATTGGCAGACAAAAGCAGACTGCCAGAATGATTGTAGTCTTACGCAAAGCGAACCCTATCGCACCGAAACCTATTGCACTGCCTGCGATTTGCCAGGAGGTTCACAAGCAGTACGAGAAGCCCTGGTAAACTCGCGCCGAACAACGCCACAGGCTCCAGAAGAAGGCTGGCAGCCCTTGAGACGTGACTGTGACGCACAAGGAGCACCGTGGTTCGACTCGCTTTCACGGAAAGTCAGCCAAACACCGACTCAAAATCTGGCTTTTGGCTTGCTTCCTGCAGAAGTTCCTTTATGCTTCGCGGATTTGCTGAAGCGGTAGCTGGAGCTACGCGGCCTTGCAATACGCAAGACATCAGGCGTGCTGCTTTGCCTCGCGATGCGCGGTGAAAAGAGGGGTGTTTCCGCAGTGGGATTGCATCTGAGCAACGCACAATATTGCCATTGTATCGGCTTTGGGTCAGTTTTGCAAGTGGATAAGTATCTGTTTTGGGTACAGGGTAATTAGTCCCCCATCGGTTTCTGGTGGCAATGTTGTTAGGTACTCATGCAAGTTCTATACCAGGGGGGCCACTAGTCGTGGTTGAAACATGGTCCGTTTGTTGAGGGAGCCCGTTTTCGGGGTGTTTGATGGGAAGCAAGAAGGAACACCATCATGTTCTGGGTCCCCTTATTTTGACCGTGCTCTACAAGGTTTTCGGAGACGTCTGGCCTTGAAATCCGCCGGATTTCGGCACTGACCAAGGGGATTTGGATCCACAATGGCGGTTTGATGTTTTCAACTTTAACTTTAACCCAACCTGAAACGGGGATACCCTCAAAAACACGAACCAATGTCCCTCACGGGCAACTTTAGCATGTCTCTACCTATGTTGCAAGGCATGGGATATTGTTAGCCTTTCACAACGAAGACAAAAGAGCCCAGTGAATGGAACATCCCATTTTCCCGAAAGGATTCGTTGTCATGCAGCAGCGGCCTGGGCACTAACTATGTTTATAGGTAAGGTAAGTACAGGGACATGATCATGACTGGCCAATGTGTTACGTTTGACGGCATTCGAAGCCCATTCGTTGCCAGGATCCCAATCTCACCAAGTCCACCGATGGCTGGGGGCCCCAAGCGCCCGCCTTGCGTGAGTGATTAGGCGCCGGAGCCCTTGCTCAAGTGGCGCGAAAAGGATGTCCTTTTCACAAGTCAAGTGGATTTAAGCATCACTTTTGCAGCCAGTTTGAAGTGAGCCTCCTCTCGGTGGGGTCTGTTGAAGGGGTCATCTAGGGAACCCTGAAAGTTGAGACAATAGGCAGGGCGGTGCCAACGTAGCTACCGTTTCGTCAGCTTCCATGATCGGGGGGTAATCAACCAAGCTGAGGCATGAGTCCCGCCTGCGCGGCAGCTGCGGGAGACCACGAGGAGGTGCTGGAGCTTTTGCCCGGAACGCCCAGACGAAGGGAAGGGAAGGGAAGGAAAGGGAGGGGGAACAACGTGTTCCCTACCCAGCAACCGGTTCATGAACAAGCTCGTTCGCTCGCAAGAATGCTCATTAGACTTGGCTGGAACCCTGCGGTATCCGCTTTGATTTGCAAAATATGTTGTTGGGTTGTTTCAGAGAGCAGCCAAGGGGAGGCCACCCAAATTTTTGGTGGGGATCTTGCCAGTTTTGGACCCCATGTTGCAAACATCTCAAAATCCAGCTGTTCAGTAACCCTGGTTAAAAAAACACAAAACAAAAACGTGGAATCAAAAGCCGCCAAACAACAAGGGGTGTAGAGGGTGCCGCTGATTTCCGACCTGCAACTGGCTTTGGGGGCCACATAAACCCCAACAGAAATGGAGGTCAGCAAACTGGTTTGGGGTTGGACAACACGGTCTCCCAAACTCTTGAGGCTGCCGCGAGGAGCAACCAAAGGGATTCACCCCCAAATATTTGAGGGGCAACCGGTGCTGGCTTGTTCGTGCAGAGTTGTTCTTTGTATTGGTGGTTTGTGTCAATGCCTTTTTGATTTTACGGGCGGTTCTAAGAACCCATGGAAACTCATTTGTCAATGCCTGATCAATTCGTAAATACGCGTGATTCACACCTGCAGTTCATGCGTGATTTCGGGTTCTTGACCGAATTCCTGGTGATGACAATATCAATAGAAAGAATCTGATTTTTTGTTGAACCTGCAGATCCTAGGTTGCTTGCTGGAAGGCCCATCCAGTCCAAGCAATGAAGCAATCCGCATTGGTGGCTTTGAAAGTTTCAGCACAGCCCCAAGACGCAAGCCCATAAACATGTCCAACATGGCTGTCTCAAGGCGAGCTCGGGCCTCTTCTAAAATTGTCCATGTCAAGCTGTCGCCCTGTTGCACCAGACACGGTCCTAGTTTTGATACATACCGTTTGCCCAACACCAGCAACTGGCAAAGCCTGTTGGTAGTCCAATAGTTGGGGGAGGATGAGACTGAGGCCGGGCGCAACTTCTCCACAAACACGCAACTGTTGGAAACATTGCAATATACTCAGGTTATTAAGAAGTAATTCGGAAAAGCTATAGCCCGTGGTTCAAATGCGCGCCTGTCAAATGGGGATACTGTTGCCCAAAATATCAAGGTTGATCGTGTCGGACACAAGGGCAACACATGCCCAGTTCCCCATGTTTTTGACAGTGGCTCAAATGATGTGAACAACAGGCAATGTTACGGGTACTCATGATTTATTTGCCAGAGCCTGGGGCATTCCCCAATTGGATGAGAGCAATGTAACTGTCAAGCGCAGGTTGTGCACTGCTTACCCCTTGTCGTACCTCCTGCCTTTCAGTACTTCACCAGCAAGTTTAAGCTTCGATTGGCCAGACAGACCCCTGCGAAACGAAACTGAAGGGGACAGGTTCCACTAGGCATTTCTGGCAAAGGGCATTCACACCTTTTATCGGAAGGCTCTTTGGTTTTTGCTGGGGTGGCGCAAAATTGGTGTCCTGGACCCTGGTCGTTGTTGATATAAAGGGAAACTAAAAGGAGGCGGTTTTAACAAGGGGTGCCGCAGCACGTTTCAGCAAGAGGTTGGCCCCACGCTGGACCTACTCGGTGGGGTTTGCGGGAAGCAAGGAATATTGTCCAAGGCTCATATATGAGGGTTTCTCACATAGTTGCACTCTAGACTGTCAAAGCAACCAGAGGGGGTCCGCCACGTTGAGAAGCCCTTTTCTGGTTCCGGGAACGGCCAAGGCTAGAAGGAAAGGCCGACGTGAACCTCGCCAGCACGGACGGTGGCACGCCCTTGCTGATGGCGATTCAGGTCGGGGGACTTGAAACGCGTAGAGCCACAAGCAAAATCCGGGGTCTCCTCCAAAACTTTTTCATAGTTCAGGTTAGACTAAATATGGAACATAGTAAACTACGTTTTTGGGGGTACTTCAAAAATGTGGGCCAAGAAATCTGGATGGTTGCAGTGGGTGAACGGACGAAATGCAGAACCAGGGTGACAGTAGATGGCACATTGCCAACCTATGTTGGGTTAGTGATCCCGGATCCCCCTTACTTACCCGCAAAGTTTCCAGCAGCCATGGAAGCGCACAGATGCGCGCAGGAGAGTACCATCATCTTCAACCGGCCCCCTTGTCCACCGATATGGTCGTTGGAAAGAGGGTGGTTGAATCTTCCTTAGACTCCTGTAAAAATCCTGCTCATTGTGAGTTAGTGCATTTGCTCTCTGCCCCGTCCCCCGAGCAGTGACAATTTGGATTGTGGACAAAATGGTGACCCTTTCCGTTTAAAGATTCCCTTGACCCCAAGGGCGAAACCTGTTTGCAAGTCCTCTTCCAGCTCCTTCATTCTCACCCGGCTCAGAAGGTCCAAGTACCTGGGCGGAGACTTGGGAAGGCAACAAAGACAGCGGCAACTGCCGATTTGGTTGGGCGGATCGGAGGCTGGGCACTACCACCTGGTGGATCGCTTACTGCAGGCACCAGCCTCAGGCAATCGTGACGAAGGGCTGTTTTGTGGCAGGTTGAATGTGAGGTTCGGTCAAAATGATCAGCCCAATTGTGGTTCATGTTGGCAGGGTCATGGGCCCAGCTTCACAGTTGCCCACAAAAACCTGGGCACGAGCAATGATTTTCCCATGTCTTTTAGGGGCGTATTCGTAATTTTGACCATGGCTCAATTGCGATGAGCCATGACCCAGGATCAGTGAATCAACTCAGAACAACTGGAATTCCCTGGTTCATTCGGGGCATGGTCTTGCCCAAGTGCTCCACACCCATCCAAGTCCATTCTCGCTCTGTCCAACTAGCATGGAAGCGGACGGTTGGAAGACTTCCGTATCCCGAGCATAGGAACAAACTAGGCAGCCTTCCAATGGTTGGTCCCTTGTTGGGTCCTCCCCAGACTGGTCCGGAAAGGCGTTCCTAGTCATGACGGTTTGAGGAAGGACCGAACATACAGTGTGCGTAGCATATTCACACACTTTCGTAAGCCGAGCGCTTTTTCAAGGTAGCCAATCTGGGGAGCGGGGTATATAATTGCCTTCTGCTTCTCCAGCATAAATGCCAGTTTGCTCAGGGCCTCCGAAAATGAACTTGGACCAATTCGGATGTCCTCTTGCCTGGATCCACGGGGACTTACACAAAGTGAAGGTGTTGCCACCTTTCGCCTTTCGGGGCTGAGAGTGGCTTTGAGTCGGGCTTTTCCTCATGGAGCTGTCAGGTTGGGGCGGCGGGTGCCGGGGAGTGGGGGAGGGCGGGGGGGGAAGATTGTTCAATGGGCTTGGCCACTCGCTTTTGGGATATCCCTTGTCTGAAAAACACCTTCTGGGTTAGGTCTTTCCAGGGCTAGCCAACGGTTACGCAGTTAATCCCCTAGATCTAGATGTGCGAAACTTGTGGGCCCCTTCTCCGGATCCGAGCAAGACAACCAGTGCTGCCTCCACAGGGAGAGACCCGGGTCCTTTCGAAAGGTCCCCTTAAAGGGGATCCGAGCTTTCACCGGAGGGTTGGGCACGTATCAACTAAATCCCGAGCCAAACGGAGGCGGTTGGGCCCAACCATGCACTGGACGCTCTGGTTGAAGCGCTCCACTTGAGTGGCTCGACTCGCGAGTTGTTTTGTTTGCTAAGGCCAAGGCGGACCCTAACGGAGCGGCCAACAGCCAGCAGACTCCAGCGCAGCTGCCCAGTGGGCGTGTACCTTTTTGAGGGTACCCTTTTTAGATTGGTTTCAAGAGAAGCCAAAAGGACAAGCAACGTTTCTTGGGTCCCCCTTTTCGAGACAGTCGGGCCCAAGTTACTTGCAAAGGACATGTTCAATGGATGGTTCTGGATGAAGTCATAGGCTACAGGTGATGACGTTTGTTGTGTTGCGAAGGAACAAAGAAAGCCAATCATTGAAGGGCCTGTTCGTTCAGGAGAGACCCTGAAACTAGATGGCGTTGGCTTTTCACTGGACAATCGCACTTCCCAAGAGCCCGCACTTAGTTGGCAGAATTTCAACAGTAAACGCGCAGGCGATTCTCCTGCCATGCGTTGCCCTTGCTTTATCGGGGTGCGTTAAAAGGTGTGCCCCTACTGAGCTTCTGGTTTTGAGGACAGAACAGGCACAACTGTCCGTGCGGCAAAAGCGCCTGACAGCTGTTGACCGCCCGCACCGGTGGATGTTCAGGCGGCACCTGGAGATTTGGGAGCCATTGACAGAACGTCACCCGTCTAGCAGGGTCGGGCAAACTCTGTTTAACCAACCATGCCCTGGCCCCCTTAGGGAAACCAAACAGAGGTTGCAAAAGACAGCGATGGTTCGATCATGTTTAGTCAACTCACTCCCTGAGTTACCGGACTTCCAGCTTGGGATGACCTTTTAGTGGCAAACAGTTTGGACTTGTTGCCAATGCACTCCAGTGGTGGCCCTGGCTCGAGCTTCCAGGTCCAGTTCATGACCCTGGCGCTGGTGCACAAAGGTGGCGAGACGGAGGAGGCGCCAACGAGACCGGGCGAGCGGCAAAACCACCTGGCCGCAGTCCGGCGGCCATGTTTCTCGTTTTGGGTGAGGCTGCAACCTCTGTGGACCAGGGTGAGGGGTTCCCTTTGAACTTGAACCCACAAAGTGGCAGGGTGTGTGTCCCTTGGCCGCTTGCAAACAAGCTGTCTTTTGGGTGCCGATGTTTGGTCCGCTTTTGGGGAGACAGTGCATGGGAGACAGTGCACACAGCAATCGGTGACATGGATTGAGCTTTTTTGGAGTCCCTTCTAAGATGGTCCTGGAATTTGCCAAGTGGCTTGTTTGCCACGGTATCTGTAAGCCCTTGTAACTGGCCGGCCCTTCTGGATTTGTATTTTCGTCCCAAGGGCAACTGAAGGAGCATGGTGGACCATTTGCGGAGCCAGCCTTGACCACAGTCCTTTTTCGCGAATCCAAAGTTGGAGTGCGCAAATCCCCTTTGCAGTGGTTTCCCTGGGATTGTGGCCAACCCTTCATTTCGAGCAGCCCGCAGCTATCTGCTTGCTGGAAGATCACGCTAAGCTTTTTTTTAGCGAGCTCAACCCATCCAGTGCCACCTTCCTGGGATCACTTTTGGTAATTCTGCTACATTTGAAGGTTCACTACATATTGACCAGAATCAACCATCCAATGTTTGGTTGGTAGTTGTCGCGAGTGGGGCTCCATTAAACTGGCTGGACTTGCGGGCAACACACGAAAAACTGATGGCCATTTCGCAGGAGCAATTGAGCAAATGGGACATTTCCCAGCACATGTCAGCCCTCATCAAACCAATCCCAAAAAGCGTTACTCCAAAAACACGCTCAAGTGTCATTTTTCCCTGGATGATCCTATGGCAAGGTCCCGAATCCAAAAAACGCGCCACCACGCCACCAAACCCCACCCACCATCTGAAGAATCTAACGCAGGTTGCCCATTGAGGGGTCATCCCAAGCCATTCCTAGCCGATTGAACTTGACGCGGGCTCAACGCCGGGATTTTAAAACTTAAACATTGAAACTTCCTTCTTGGCTGTGTTCAGCTAAAGGGGCAACCCTTGCATGACGACCCCACATAGCTAGTGGTGACTTTCTCTGGTTAAGAAGCCGCGTAGGTAGGGTGTATCATACAAACCACTTGGGGGGGTTATTGAATATTTGGTAGTCTAATATGAACAACTTTGACAGTTGGCAGGGACCTGGCAGAATGCAGCAAATTACCTAAGTCTGCCCCTTGCATGCGGGTTCCCTTATTTGGATACAAACGGCCATTTGTGGGTTCACTATTTCAAGACAAGCACCCACACGACAGGAGCAGCACGAGTTCGAGCACGCGTATGAAGCACTGGAGCGCTTGCTCAAGGCGCAAGCTCCGCCTAAGCGAAGGCGTTGGGTTCTTGGGTGCTTCCCAAGCCCAGTGATATGGAACTGGAACACCCCACAGCCCACCCCCTTTGGATGATTTTCTTCCAATAGCAAAGCAGTAAAGTGAATTTGTTCAGTGGCACCTGTTTCCCAATTTCATTTGGTGGGTTCCCCACTTAAAATGATCTATGGGGGCCCTTTTGTGGGTAGTTTTTGCCAATGTCATTCTCCTTTTCCGTGAGGTTTTCTAGCTCAGGTGTTTGTTTTGCTGTTGTTTTTGTTGGTTCCTTTGTTTTCCCTTTCAACTAGTTAAACAGAGTACTTTTTGCGGGTCGGATCCGTCCAGTCAAGCAAGCTCATTGTTAGGACCCACGAATGGGTGCGTGTTTTTCAGGGTACCCTTAGCTTGATTTGAAATGTGAGGGTCGAGGGTCTCCTATTTTGAATCACACCCAAATAAATGAGCGTTGTTTGGCGCCAAGCGGTTCGCGCCTCACCGGGCCCTTGCCAGGCGCGTGCAGACCCGGACCGGGTGAACCAGGGCGGGGGCAGTGCGTTGCTGGCAGCGGCAGTGAGGGACAGCCTGGACGCCGGAGTTCCCAGTGGATATGGACGTTTGGGTGCGTTTGCCTTTCTGAGGCTTCAGAGCTTTTGGCCTGGTAAACACTGGACAAGCAGTCGGAACCTGGGGAGGACGTGGGGGGACAACCCAAACATCCCACAAAGACCAGGACCTTCCCTAACCCTCCCTAAGCGTTTCCCCTGCAAGTGAGCCTTTAGACCTACCAAAAGAGGGTACCCTCAAAAAACACAGACCCAACACGGTTTCACCCCATTTGTGGTGCCCTTTTTTCCTGCGGGCATGGCACTTGTTTGGCAGTTCCTTTGCGCACAATTGGAAGGGTAACCCTTGGATTTCGGTTGATCCCTTTGCGGCCTCCTCCCTTGCCTTGCCCAAAGGTAGGAGGGAACTCAGTCTTTTAGGCTGAGCTTTGTGTGTCAATAGCGCAATTTTGCGGGAAGTGTGCTTGGAGATCCAGACCTCAAGTGGGTTGCTTCTTCTCTTTTTTTGGGTGAGGGGGGGAGGTTCCCTAAAACAACATGTACCCAGAAAGGTCACGCCGCCACTAACGGCGCGGAGGAGTTCACAACCTTGGCAAACGCCCAATCAGGATGTCTGGCCGTGAAGCTACTGCGGCATTGGTTCCCGCAAGCAATCATGCGCGTTGCGCATCCATTGGTAATTGCACAAGTACCGCCGCAGCTCGGGATGCAGCCCGCCTTTCTTCTTAGCGTGAAGGTCCCGAGGCAAGGGACACTTTAAAACTTTACAAACTGCCACGGGTTGCCCTTGGTATGACATTGCCATGACCAATTTTTCGGTTTTGCACCCCCCTGTTTTTACAAAGGAAGAGACAACCTTTTTGGTAGGCCCCTGCCTGACAAATGAAGCAAAATGTCGGCTGCAGTTTTCACTTGCAGAGTTGTCCGAGCTTCTTGCCTTCTTTGTCGCGTAAAGTGGACCTACCTCCGTTCTACCTACCTCTGTCCAAGTCATCGCGGCGTCGGAACAGCGGGAAAGGTGCGCGGCTCCAATAAAAATGTGCAGAATGCTCCACGCCGTTAGTGGCGGCGTGAGCAAAACCAAGTGTCTTGTGTCCTCATGGGAATCCACTGGAAATTTGGGGCTGCTTGTCTTCCCCCTCTTTCTGCCCAGCGCCTCTTGGATTGTTCTGTAGGAGCCCCGAATAGGTTTGGGCTGGCTGAAGTGGATGTTGTTTGTGTCGACAGTGAACGACTCACCTGCCCAAAAGCCCAAAAGCCGACCCTTTTAATTAAGCGGTTATTGCATATTGGCAACCATAGTCAAGTTTCCAAACTTATACTCTTTTAGGACAGCCTTTATGGGGTTCAAAGGGGGTCCTGACAAGTAGAAAAGGACCCTAATGCAAAGTTGATGTTGGTTGATCTCCAGGCTCTTCTGTCAGAACCCCTAAGGAAATCTCGAGTGAACAAAATAAGCAACAGACCAGCAACAAAGATCTCAAGTGAAAAAACACACACACTCACACACACATTCACACACACACACTCAACAGCACCGCGAAAGCAGCAGCAGGTCAAAGCGAAAGAACAAACACAACCAAACTGTCAAGCTGTGCTGTCGCAGCGACCAACCCATCCCCGGCCTTTAGCCGAGGCCCTGGAGCTGTTGCTGGACGCAAAGGCGGATCCCAACCAGCGAGACCCGGAGTACCAGGCGAGGCTCGCCGCACTTTTTGCGGACGTGCGATCGGTGTCAGTTTTTTCCAATGAAGGAAATGCCAAGAAAACGGTATACTTGGGGATTCCGAATATTTTCGGCTGAAGTTCCAGCTGGATGGCGGGTTTGTCGGTGTCTTCCGATCGTGGCGGGCGAAGCTGGATTCCCCCCAACAAGTCGATCAATTGATTGGGTTCCAAGGTCCAAGAAGGGGGGACTTGCAATCGGTTTCAGTTTCACCCCAGGTTCGTTTCCTGGGGTCCGTGACTAAATTTCAGGTTGGTGACTTGCTGCTCACAAGATGTGTTCATTACTCCAAGGATTCCCATTGTCGAAAATCAAACACCCCTTGGTCTGAGTCTACTTGTGATGTGGTTGGGGAAGACGGGTTGCTGCGAGCCTCAAAAACTGACCAACACATAGTGGTAGGAAATTCGCTCGGTTTCTGTTCTTTCCCTCTGCCAGGGAGCAGATTCTGCCCTTGTGCACGGTTTTTGGAGCAACCCAGTCAAAGATTCCTTGGTTTAAGTCTACTTGTGATATATATATATATATGTATATACATACATACATATATATATATATATATATTATATTATATAGATGGTGAATTGTTGCCCAGTTGTTCAGTGGCATCCTCTAAATCCGTTTTTGCTTTGTGAGATCCTCAGAAAAGTGGTGAGCCCGAACAAGGGTTCCTCTTTCTACCGTTCGGATCACTTGGCAACTGAGCAGTGCCCAAAAGCCCCCCCCCCCATGGGCCATTTCAGGTTGTTCTACTAATACGAGGCCTCGAAATAAAACCTTTGCCAAGTTTTGGTAGAGTCAGCATTCACGTCTTGGTTTGGGCGCTGCTCAGAGGATTCCACCATGATGACGTATGGCAACTTGTGTAGGCAAACCTTTTCGTGATACTGGGATCCTTTTTAAGTGAGAAGGTTCAGGTAGGTCCTGTTGCTATGACAATTGCTGGGATCCTGTGCAAGTGGCAAGGTAGTTATGGCAATCAACTTGGGTGATTCGAGACGCCGGCTTTGCGAGGCCACGGTTCTGTCGTGGTCCGCGCACAACGCCTACGCGGCGTCCTCTGTGCTAGGCTCAGCGGCTCCCAGGTTCGGTCAGAAGTACCAGCAGTCTGGTTCATTGGGAGGGGGCATGGGGGTCGAGCTTGAAATGTCCCCACACAAATCAGGGGGCTGACTGGTATACAATTGTGCCATGTCATTTGGGGCAAACACGAAACCTGTTTGCAGCCGCAGCAACTAGCAACTTGGAGAATGCAGCAGGCTGGTTAGCGATTCACATGGTTAAACGTGGCGATGTCTAAACGGACTTTTTTGCCACATTTGCATTGTGAGGCCAGCACGAAGACCGTTCGAAAAACTGTCCCTTGCTCCTCCTTGCTTGGCCCGTGTGTCGGCCGCAGCCCTTTGCGAGCAGTCCAATGGGATTTGACTTTGTCCCCTGCTCCTTGCTCCATCAGATTGCTATTTGACACCACAGTTTTGGTATTTTGGGGTCGATGCACAAAGATTTCAGCAACAACCGCAGGGACACAGCCACTGGATCGCTAAGGGCTTGGTTCTGAAGCTGCCCCAGCACGGGTGCTGAAAGTTTTGGGCTCCTGAAAGGATACTTTTTGCACATTTGAAGCATGCTTTTTCCACCAACATAACGGGACACCAGCATTTACAAGGCAATGTTCAAGCGTATAATGTAAGGATCCCTGTTGCAGTACATACGTATGTATCAAGGATCCTGGTTACGCATTGGGGGATATCAGTTGGGACGAGGCGCATGGGTGTTTTCCTGTCGGTTTGCTTTGAAAACTGACCCAAATTGAAGACACATCTTAGTTTCGCAATATGTCCTTCTTTGGGTGATTTTAGCATCACCTTCTAGACCCCATTTTGTTTGAGTTCCTCCTGGGCGGAGTAATGTCAGGGGTTTACATGTTCAATAGTTTCGACCCAGGTCGATGCTGTCACTGCCCTGGTCAAGAATCGCGCCGACGTCAACGCTGTTTCTGGACAGAAAGCTGGCTTCAGTTCGAGATATTTTCTGCCCCACTTGAGCGAAGCAATATATTGAAGGACGTACCGCCCACAGCAAAGGACCGCCCCATGTTCCTTTCGTGGGTGCAAGGGAAATAATGTATGAAGTGGGGCTTACCTCCGCTTGTTTCAAGCAGTTGGGAGAGTCACCGCCTCGTAGAGGTTTGGTACACTTTCAGTTTTAGCTGTTCAATGTGTAGGTTGGTCGGCAGGGCCTTTTTGAAACACAAATTTGACACGTGCATGATTTGCAGCCCGGCCTGAATTCCCTCCCACCCTGGTGTCCTTTGCTGACGGAAGGTTTGGCAGTCTTTCCTCAAATTTCTTGCAGGAGAGGAGTCGTCCAACATCCCCTGACTTGTGTAGCTGTTTTTGCTTCAGGTTTCTCTTTTTTGAAGCTGTGTCTCCCAGTGTCTTTGACACTGCTCCCACACGCACACCCACACACGCCTTAATTACTCTCTCTCTCTCTCGCTCTCTCTCTCTCTCTCGCTCTCTCGCTCCCTCTCTCTAGTTTCCCTTCCTATACGGCACAGCCGATCCAGCGCGAATGCAAGTTCAATTTCTATCGGTAAAAAGGCAGGCCCGTTCAAACCAGCCCGAAAGTTGTTGCAACAATCTTCCTTCAGCACATGGTAGCCCAGCTCATACGCCCCTAGTTGATCAACAGGGCTGCGCTTCATTTTGGCCGGGATCTTTCACTTTGGGGGATGGCATGACCCCGAAACAAGCTCCATCAGGTTTATAAACATGGCCTTGACATTTCATCCGACTGGTGCCTTGGAGCTCCGTGGCTAAAAAACCAGTGAGCCCAAAAAGACTTGTTTGCAGGCGTCCCATGTTCTTTCCCCTTTCACATTGCTTTCTCTGAGGGGCGCGCTGCCCGTAGCAAAACCATGAACCTACTTGTGCAGTGGGTAGGACATTTAATTAGAGTAGTTCACTTGGGAGGCGCATGGGAGGACTCACTAAACGTTTAACAAACAAACGGGAAGTTACTCATTTTCCGATAGTAAACAAGAAATTTGAGCCTGACTGAGGGTGATTCAACTATGAGAAACATGGCGGGTCCACATGCGGAGGCCCGACAGTACAATGCAAACCTCCACCTTGTGCATTGATTTCTCCCAACGAGGGATACTAACCTGGACGCTAAACAGTACGTATTGTTAAATATCCCCCCAAAGGAAAGCAATCAGCCTCTGGTGTATGTTTATGTTTCTCCGATGCATAATTTCCCAATCCCAATTTTTGGCTATCCCAGTATAGATTTGGTCCCCGTAGCTTACTTCACCACATAAAGGGAACGGAGCCGTCTACGTTGACCCTAACATCGAATCCCATCAGGAGAAGAGACGCCGCTGGACGTGGCCAAGGGAATGGTGGCCGCCGCAGAGGCGCCGCGGTTTGGTGACCGTCCCAGGTGGCCTCAGGTGGCCCTCAGGTGGCCCTCAGGTGGCCCTCAGGCTGTTTCCAGGGACTATCAAAGTAAGAAACTTAACCCACTAGGGGGTGACTTTGGTCATTGTAAAATGACGCCAGCCCTTGGGTTGGTTGGAGGATTTGAAGTCCTGGCGCTTGTAGAGGGATGGGAATCCACCCCTAAGCTTTGGGCGGTTACATGGCAGCCTTGGCACATGGTTCCCAAGCTGGTTTCCATCACGCAGGTGCCTTCAGTTGATCCCGAAGCCCCAGCAAGTTGGCCATGCCAGTCGGCTCTACCCAGTCTAATGGATCGAGGCCTACGTAGAATGTGAAATATGATTGACCATGCGGAACAAACATCAATGGCTTGTTTTTAGCCTGCGAATCCAAGGGCACGAACCAAGACCCTGGACGATGTTTGCAAGGAAACCAGGGATCCTGAGTGTGTTTCTACTTGCACGGACGCGTCTTCTGGCAGCCTAAATATGGTCCCCTCGTTCTCTCACATACCCATGTGTAGGCATATGTTTGATACCCGCAGGCAGAGTGTCAAACAAAGTACTCACAGTATTTGTTGGTCGCTCAACGAGCTATCCCATGATGAAGGTTCCATGCTTGGGGATTCTTGAGTGTCGGTTGGTAGATTTTGTCAATTTGCCCAGGGTTTATGAAAAGGCCTACAGCAGGATGAAAGTTTATATCAGAGTTCTCTACATTTGGGTCAGCAACGAAATGATTCAACCAGCATCTGGGAATCGTGTCATCTACTTCACCCAAATGTAACACAAAGTCTGTTGGGGTCGTCAAGCGTCAAAAACACGGATCCTTGCTGGTATCCCTTTAGTGGCTGCACAAGGCGGGCTTCCCCAACCGATCAGTTGGAACCACCAAACCCTTTTTCACCCCCCACCCTGCCCACCGAGCCCGCCAGGAGGGTGCGCAGCAAGCGGCCGCCACAGCCTGCTATGAGGCGTGTGATTCGCGGAAAGCGCGACCGTGGGTTCTTATTTGGTGTGTGTGTCAAGAGGAAACTGGGTCCCCTCCCAATTTAGTCTTTACTTTAGGGTGGACCCAATGCCATTCTGTAACAATAGCTCGTATTGTTGTGTTGTGTACAGGTTTGGGCCAAAGAAAGGGGATCACGTGAAGGCATCCGCATGAAACCAACCATGCGGAGAGCTTTCTTCGGTTGACTCATACCAGTCTGAGTGTTGCCTAAGATAGGAACCTTTGCATTGCAGACATTGTTTTACGTTGCAGACCTTACATTGCATTTGCTTTGCAAAATTCAATGTACATATGAGCCACGGACAAAACACGCGTAGACCACTTTATCAAGACGGGGCACGCTTTTGAGTAACACATCCCAAAACCATGGAAAACGATGAGGTCTCCCCCAAAAACGATGACCCTTAACGAACACACGGCTCTGTAAATACGACACTTGTACTGAGAAGTTGCGATTTTCGAGCTGGAGATGCGGAAGTGTACTTCGCGTACAGCCTAGGCTTGTACTACAAAGCTGCGATTTTCGAGCTGGAGCTGCGGAAGTGTTCTTCGCGTACTAGACTTGTACTACAAAGTTGCGAATTTCGAGCTGGAGCTGCGGAAGTGTACTTCGCGTACTAGACTTGTACTACAAAGTTGCGATTTTCGAGCTGCAGAGGCGGAAGTGTACTTCGCGTACTAGACTTGCACTACAAAGTTGCGATTTTCGAGCTGGAGATGCGGAAGTGTACTTCGCGTACTAGACTTGTACTACAAAGTTGCGATTTTCGAGCTGGAGCTGCGGAAGTGTTCTTCGCGTACTAGACTTGTACTGCAAAGTTGCGACTTTCGAGCTGGAGCTGCGGAAGTGTACTTCGCGTACTAGACTTGTACTACAAAGTTACGATTTTCGAGCTGAAGATGCGGAAGTGTACTTCGTGTACTAGACTTGTACTACAAAGTTGCGATTTTCGAGCTGGAGATGCGGAAGTGTACTTCGCGTACTAGACTTGTACTACAAAGTTGCGATTTTCGAGCTGAAGATGCGGAAGTGTACTTCGCGTACTAGACTTGTATTACAAAGTTACGATTTTCGATCTGAAGATGCGGAAGTGTACTTCGCGTACTAGACTTGTACTACAAAGTTGCGATTTTCGAGCTGGAGCTGCGGAAGTGTACTTCGCGTACTAGACTTGTACTACAAAGAGCTTGTACGCGTACTAGTACTAGAGTACGGAAGTGTACACTAGACTTGTACTACAAAGTTGCGATTTTCGAGCTGGAGCTGCGGAAGTGTACTTCGCGTACTAGACTTGTACTACAAAGTTGCGATTTTCGAGCTGGAGATGCGGAAGTGTACTTCGCGTACTAGACTTGTACTACAAAGTTGCGATTTTCGAGCTGGAGCTGCGGAAGTGTACTTCGCGTACTAGACTTGTACTACAAAGTTGCGATTTTCGAGCTGGAGCTGCGGAAGTGTACTTCGCGTACTAGACTTGTACTACAAAGTTGCGATTTTCGAGCTGGAGCTGCGGAAGTGTACTTCGCGTACTAGACTTGTACTACAAAGTTGCGATTTTCGAGCTGGAGATGCGGAAGTGTACTTCGCGTACTAGACTTGTACTACAAAGTTGCGATTTTCGAGCTGAAGATGCGGAAGTGTACTTCGCGTACTAGACTTGTACTACAAAGTTACGATTTTCGATCTGAAGATGCGGAAGTGTACTTCGCGTACTAGACTTGTACTACAAAGTTGCGATTTCGAGCTGGAGATGCGGAAGTGTACTTCGCGTACTAGACTTGTACTACAAAGTTGCGATTTTCGAGCTGGAGCTGCGGAAGTGTACTTCGCGTACTAGACTTGTACTACAAAGTTGCGATTTTCGAGCTGGAGATGCGGAAGTGTACTTCGCGTACTAGACTTGTACTACAAAGTTGCGATTTTCGAGCTGGAGCTGCGGAAGTGTACTTCGCGTACTAGACTTGTACTACAAAGTTGCGATTTTCGAGCTGGAGCTGCGGAAGTGTACTTCGCGTACTAGACTTGTACTACAAAGTTGCGATTTTCGAGCTGGAGCTGCGGAAGTGTACTTCGCGTACTAGACTTGTACTACAAAGTTGCGATTTTCGAGCTGAAGATGCGGAAGTGTACTTCGCGTACTAGACTTGTACTACAAAGTTGCGATTTTCGAGCTGGAGATGCGGAAGTGTACTTCGCGTACTAGACTTGTACTACAAAGTTGCGATTTTCGAGCTGGAGATGCGGAAGTGTACTTCGCGTACTAGACTTGTACTACAAAGTTGCGATTTTCGAGCTGGAGCTGCGGAAGTGTACTTCGCGTACTAGACTTGTACTACAAAGTTACGATTTTCGAGCTGAGATGCGGAAGTGTACTTCGTGTACTAGACTTGTACTACAAAGTTGCGATGATCGAGCTGGAGATGCGGAAGTGTACTTCGCGTACTAGACTTGTACTACAAAGTTGCGATTTTCGAGCTGGAGCTGCGGAAGTGTACTTCGCGTACTAGACTTGTACTACAAAGTTGCGATTTTCGAGCTGGAGCTGCGGAAGTGTACTTCGCGTACTAGACTTGTACTACAAAGTTGCGATTTTCGAGCTGGAGATGCGGAAGTGTACTTCGCGTACTAGACTTGTACTACAAGTTGCGATTTTCGAGCTGGAGCTGCGGAAGTGTACTTCGCGTACTAGACTTGCGCTACAAAGTTGCGATTTTCGAGCTGGAGATGCGGAAGTGTACTTCGCGTACTAGACTTGTACTTTGCGATTTTCGAGCTGGAGCTGCGGAAGTGTACTTCGCGTACTAGACTTGTACTTTGCGATTTTCGAGCTGGAGCTGCGGAAGTGTACTTCGCGTACTAGACTTGCGCGACAAAGTTGTGATTTTTGAGCTGGAGATGCGGAAGTGTACTTCGCGTACTAGACTTGTACTGCACAGTTGCGAATTTCGAGCTGGAGCTGCGGAAGTGTACTTCGCGTACTAGACTTGTGCTAGAAAGTTGCGATTTTGGAGCCGGATCTGCCAAAGTTCGAAAACACTGTAAAACGATGAGGTCTCCCCCAAAAACGATGACGTTAAAAAAAGTACTAAGGCCAAGTAAAGGGTTTCGTCCGCTCCTCATATATATATATACAACATTTAAACACCGAGATTCATATGCCTATGAACGCGCGGTTCTCATTCTCCACGCGTTGCATCTCCACCGGACCAGTCCCTTCCCGCCGGGTCTCTTGTCGAGGCGCTGAAGTCCATGGGCGGCAAGGAGTTCAAAGAGCTGAGCTGAGCTGGCCGTGCGCGAGCCATGTGGGTCATGTCTTTCTTTTTCAGCCCCGCATTGGCTGATTTTGGGGGGGGAATCCAACAGGGCAGGGAAACACGGCGAGCTCAACGTTGCACATTGCTGGCACCTATTGCCCTAGCCAAGTCTAGTGGCTGCTTAGCGGGTCAGCCGAGTTTTTCTCCAGTTTTCTCCTCTTTCCAACTCTTTTTTGAAGTGGACACCCGATGGCCTTTGCAAGAGGACAGTCTTTCGAAACCGTGCCAGCTTCCATGGTTGGACAGAGGGAACGTAGATCGATTAGCTTATGCCACGCTGGCTGCATGTCTTCAGCACACTTGAAGTGTCTGCTGTGGCGAAGCTGCCCACGGCGCGCTGGTGTTGGCTCTTGACGGCAGGTCGCTTGAACACGTCTTGGGATTTCTTGCAGCCTCCAAGGAACAATCACTCGGGACGCTTTAACGGCGATTGGACTGACTGTTTGGTATCCTTTGGGTCGTGCCGACCTCACCGCAAAACGCATGCAATGCTGGCTTGCCGCATTGTATTCAGAAGGCAAGGACTTGCCTTCAAAAGCCTGCACCAGCGGAAGACTTAGATAATGAGATTGGGAACCCGATGATTGGCTTGTGCTCGCTGAATGCTCCAAAGAGACAATTTATTGGGTTCTACGCTCGCATCATGGGATGTCCCCAAGCACGTCGTCAGTCCTCTCAATGGAGGCGAATCGACAGACTACCACAAAAGAAGGGGCTGCTATGTGCTTATTTGTGCACGTCACGTTTTGAAGAATCTCACACTGGCTGGCTTCGTCTCAATTTCAACCCCATTTTGGCGCCGTCCAACAAGCATGCATCGCCGGGAGTTTGAGGTGATTGCACCAGCGTCCATTTGCACCTTTGTGCAGAAAGGTAGAAAGCACAGAGGCGGACCTTCTCCCTTCGCAGGTGTCATTGCAGCGGCTTTGCGAGTTTTCGAATGCTGCCGCGGCCCAGGCGAGCCGACCGGCCGTGGAGTTGTCATGTTGTCAGCTTGTTTTGTATTGTTTGAGCGGCTCCCCTGCTAATATGGGCAAAGCACCCCGCATAGAGTGTGTGAAGACCCCTTGGAAAAGTAAAGGGACTCCTCAAAAAGGGCCCCCCATTGGAAAGCACTGCGATTCAATAGGATCCTTCCCCTGGTTTTAGTCAACCAGCAAATGGCGCTACGAGACTTTGGGACGGAGCCATCCCCAACTATTCATGCAGGACAGCTGGATTCCGGAGGCTAGCAACGGAGGTCAAGCAGTTTCTGTGGACATCAAACAGCTTACAACCAGGTATCAACTGCCGAGCTGTCGCTTCTGGTAAGTGACAGTACACGAGTGCTTCTCAAAATCATGGAGCCCTTGTTGAAGCCCTCTTTACAAATGGCCAGAGCCTAGTACTGGTCGTGTGGACTTTGTTGACTTTGTTGCCCTTCCACCAACATGAACAGGTTCTTTCCAACACCCTCCAAACATTGAATTGCACAACGTGAAAATCCCGTACCCCCAGTGCACATCCCAATCCCCACTAAAATAGGTTCTAAAATGGGTGGTGCACCTACCAACCAAAATCTGATCCCATTGGTTTTGACAACCACAGCCACATGCTGGCGGTTACCCTCTTTTTTTTGGGGCTCCCGTGAACCCGGAGGAGTGCCTGGCGGCCGGCCGGCCGAACCGAAAGCCGGCGTCCATGGCTCGGCCATGGAGCTGTCTCAACTTGACTATTTGGTGGGAGTTTTAGCATTCGACCTGGATGGTTTTCCACCAAACTCAACTATTTGGGGTCTCCCAGTCTCCCACTAAAGAAATTTGTGGTTTTCCGCCAAACTCAAATGTGTGGGTTCTCCCACTAAAGAAATGCACAGGGGGCAATAGCCATCAAGTCAACAATGACATCAGTTTGCCTACTTCATGCGAACTCGCATGGGGGCAGAACGAGCTTGCTGTAGGTCCTTTACTTGGATATCTCTTGCTTCAGGTTTGGCACACGCACACACACACACACACCTTCACAACTGACAACTGGGTATCAAATCAGTTCCTCGACAGTTTTGAGTTGTGGAGGGCAGGGATTGGGGAAGATATTGGGAGGATGCGGGATGACTCGCCACGAATGGTACAGTGGTTTGTCTTCTTTTATTTGCCTCGTTTTGGGAGATTTGCAAAATTGCTTTTGGGGCCCTTTGCGTAATTTAGAGGGTAGTTTTGAGGATGGCACTGTATTGGTTCAAGGGGCGAGTATCATGTATAAGCCCTGGTTTTAGGCAATATGTAGTGTATATGTAGGTCTGTTTCGAAGCTTTTAGGAGTACTCAAGGGGACATGACCAAATTCTTTGGATGCGGAAGTGAAGAAGTCCGCTTGGACGGAGCGGGTGGGGGTGGCTGGCTCTGCCAGAAATATTGAACGTTGCTTTGGCTTCAGATGCAATTCTTTGACGGAGTCACAGCTTTCCACAAGACTGGAATTGGCACCCCAATTCCGAACGATTCGACATCACCCTTTGTTTTGAGAGGAAGTGGATTGGGACCCCATGCTGCCCCTGCCCCCATCTACGCACTGCTGCCCCATTTTGTAGAGCTACTGGTTCTTGATTTCTGATTTGTCTCGCATGTCATCATCCGCAACAATTGAGTACTCTTTTTTGCAGGGCACAAGTGGGATTTTCGTGGTTTGCTTTCAAGGAAAGCCCAGGAGTTTACATGCCGTTTTTGCAGAAACACAAGATCCCACTGGGTTTAGGTCTCCAGATGCCTGGTGCCATAGGTTCGCGTTTCAAGTCCCAACTCCAACTAAAGTCACACCTCCGACATGCAGCCAATTGAGTTTCCCGCCCTGAAAACAAAGGCCCCTTCCAATTGCCACACCCCATGCGGGCCATGCGCGCCATGCGCGCCGCTCGCCGTGCGGCGACGTTGGCGTTGATGGCCGGCGGCGCTTGCGGTGCCTTTGGGTCAATGGCGTCCGATCCGGCGGCCTGGCGGAGAGACTGGGAGAGAAAATGGTGAAAGGTGGCACGGCCCTTAAGGAAAGGCCCCGTTCGAAGGAGAAAGGGCCCCTGCCAGACTGAACTGACCAATTCGGAAATCCTTTTCAGCAAGAAGTAGTCGCGCTTTGCACGGATGAGCTCCGTCTGGCCAAGTTTCAAAGGTGCACGTCCCAAACCCACGCCCTTCGCTGCACGCTTTGGGCTGAGGCGATGGCGCGCTGGCGCCAGGTACGCTTCCGCGCTCTGCAGGAGGTGGACCTAGAGATAGGCGCGGCAGTTTTACGGTCATGGCTTTTTTTAGAGGCCACTTGTGATGTGCCAGGGGAATCCCCTAAGTGATAAAGTAGTCATGGCAGTGACATATAAGTATTGGTATCATGGAAAGGGTGAGTCATGGACGGAGTGGACCCTAACGAGATTCAGTCACAACACGGGGGCATGCTCCCCAAATGGGGTGGTTTGTCCCAGGTTAGAATTGCTTGAAGCAAGGGTACTCTCAAAAATGATGTACACACATTATTATATTATATCTACTTGTGATTGCGAGACACCCCATCCACAGAAGCCTTGTTAGGCAAACAGTTGAAGGATTCTGGGAACCCGACCCATCCAAAGCTTGCAAAGAAATGCGTCTGGCGGTAGCTGCGTCACTCTCTCCAAGGGATCCTGCTGTCCAAGCGCCAAAATCCAGGGGGAATGAAATCCTAGAATAGCTACGTAGGTTGAGGCAAATAACCCTGGACGGCGCATCCCGGAAGCTCTGGAACTTCAATATTGTGATTCAACAAAGGGCTCCCGCCAGCAATATTTCACACAAGGGCATCCGCCGTTGGCCGGCGTTGGCCGGCATTGGGCGGGCAGCCAGCTTTTTGTTTGCAACCCAACTGGTTATGTCTGAACCCAGGCAGCAAAAGCTGCAATGGGAGGGTCACGAAAGGTTGGAGTGGCTGAAATCAAGGAATCTCTAGGTTTTTTGCTGCCCACCAGAAGCAGATATGTTGCCAACAAAACCCACACCAATCGAAAGATACGCACTTTCGGATCAGTCCTGATGACCGTAGATGACTGCACTCGTCCTGACCATGAGGCGGTCTGTCCCTTCCAAGCAAAGGTGAATGGCCTAAAATGCAATATCCAACCAGGGGTTCATTGATCCTGGTCTCCCGCAAACTCTGGACAAACTGTTGCGCGACCTCACTTGTGAAGACTCTTCATTCACCCAGATTGTCTTTCTGCGCTGGGCGGTTGCCCACGCAACTTGCTTCAAAGGGATGCTTTAAACAAGGCCGTTCATAAGTTGTGCTGCCAGGGACTCCCTTGGCTTGAAGCGAAGCCATGGGCAACCCAGAACCCGTGGTACGGCCCAGCGAACTGACTGGTTCAACTGACCAGGTCACGCGCATTCCGTCGTCCTGGTGGGCCGGTCCGGCGCCGGCAAAAGCACGCCTCTCGGGCAAACATCGATCGACGAGAGGGAACGGGTGGTCCATATAATACGTGCGCGTTTTGGTCTGTTTGCTTCAACGCAGATGGATTTGCTTATTACTCATTCCCATGCATCGACCATAATTTCGTTTGTTGGGCGGTTTATACTCAGCTGGTGTCCGTTTGGTTCGATTTTGGGTGAACAAGATGGATTGAACTGGTTTCAGCTTGGTTCGAAAGATGTACCTGTGTTGTTTTATGTTCGAGGGGACACTTGGCGTCCTTCTTTGTGGTGCTCAGTGGATCCGATAGGCAAGCCACCATAGATACCTCCGTGGCGTAGCTGGATCCACTGGGGCTGGCTTACTCTCAGATGTCCAAAGCGCTTGTATTGTCAGGTCCTGTCGGTGGGTTGAGTAGATGTCCCCTTTGGGGGCTGGTTTGAACTGTGAACAACAGCTTTTGGGCCATGATTGAAAAGGGGACATAGCAGGGGCCATGGAATGCTCACTGCCCACTGGGCCCCAGGCATCCTGTTCTGTGCGGGTCCCCGGAAAAGGACATCCCATGATTTGTTGATTTCATTTTTTTTCTGAGGGCGTCAAATATTTTGTGCTTTGACCCATGGGTGTTTCTCCCATTCGCCGAGGCTACTTCAGCTGCTGGCAGACGGCGTGCCGGAGTCCGCGGCGGGGCTTCCAAGCCGGTGCCGGGACTGGGCATGTGATTAAACAAACTGCGCGTGGACTTTTTTCCGAAAAGAGGTGTCTTGGGATCGGGGATCTTTTTTGGACAACAGTTTGCACTGAAAGTAGATTGCACATTCCCTCTAGGTGGGTCAGTAGAGGGGTTGACTCAACAAAAATGATTGGCAACTACTGCCATCTGCTGCCACCCAACTGTCAACATGGATCTGGATTTTGCCAGGCCCAGTTCGAGATGGACTCCGGCTTGCAGCGACCGTTGGCGGCCGCTGTCTCAGGCGAGTGAAGATCGGGCACGATCCCAAACATTTAACTGTGTGTACCTTTTTCAGCTGGTTTTAAAGGGAAACCAGAAGGCAAACAGCTATTTGTCGGATTCCCATGTTTTGCCGCTTTTTTGAGACATACCAAATACCCCTCTATGTCCAAGGCCAAGGTTGCTTCCTTCCAGAAATTTCCGGTGTTGAAAACAACGATGATTGGCAAGAATGGGGAAGCAACCCCTGGAACCTGAAATCACTGCGGCAAGAAGCCCTGTTGACTCTTCACCTTGCACATTTCAGACCGCTTTACCAAGCCTTGTATATGGCTCAAGCCGGGGAACTCCGAAAGCGGCCTTGAATTGGGTGCCAAACAGGTAGCTGTTCCCTTGACGCGAAATGGAGATGTGGCTTGTTTTAGGTCTTCTCTTTGGTTCCTCATGGGGGCGGAATGCAAAAGTCCGAACCGACCATGATTTCAGTTTGCGCAGCCCCCATTCTATTCATTTAGCTCCTATATTCCCTTCGGGCTCTCTAGTGTTGGTCAATCAGAGCAATTGGTGTACTTTGCCCAGATTCATGAGCCGTGATGAACCCATTGGAGACCATATTTTGGGCTGATTTCCAATGGGTGGCGAATGGTTTCCCAGAGGTAAGCCATAATTAAAGGCTATTAGTCCCAACGCTAGGAACTATAGGGGGTTACCGCCGGTTCATTGCGAGTCTCGAAGGCCTGGTGATTCCGCTTCGCGTAACCTTCACACATTTGCACCAGTTATGGCCAGATTACCGATTTGCGGGAAAAAAAGAGAGCTCACCCAAGACAAAGGTCCTTGAAGGTCCCTTGGACATGTCGTCACAAATGGATTTTGGGTGAGGTGATCAATTGTAAGCACGTAGATCGGCCTCAGATGAGACAGGCTGCCAGGTCAAAGGCGATCATTGGAAGACTTTCTGGGAATGTTGGGCGGGTATTTGAAATCTCTTCAGGGCTGCGCGAAGTCCCCACATTCCTAATATGTTGACTTGCAAGACCGAAAGTGACGGGGAACGGGCAACTAGGTTCACTCCCGAATTCTCCTGCTAGATTATCACCACAGGCTTGCTCCCCGCCTCCAAATTCCGTTGGCTGGAGGTGCTTGACGCCTACGGAGTTCGAGCAGACGCAGCCGCGGCCTTGGAGTGCGTGAGCAGGATTGGTGTGACAAAATTGCGTGGTCGCGAAGTTGTGTACACGTGAAGTGCAGCTGTGCCCTTGTCCCCTTGACCAGCAGTGATGGTCCTTTTGTGGTGCAGCCTTTCGAACTTGGTTCACTTAAAGGATTACAGTAGGAATGCCATTGAAGGATTGCCCATTAAATGGAAACCACAAGAATACCGAAATAACATTTCTGACTTCTCATTTTAAAGCATATTGTGGATTGACAATCGACCGGTAGGTGGTTTGTCCAGGCCCAGCCAGGGGCTCCTGTGACGGACCAAGAGCTGAAGCAGCTGCGGGACGCCTGGCGGCCCGGCAAGAAGTGCAAGTCGGGGCCTTTTTTTTCAAAGGGATTTCGACCGGGACCAAAAATAGGGCTTCAGTGACCTGAACCAACCCCCAAAGTCTCTAAAAGGGTACCCGCAAAAAAGGGGGTTCCTGAACTTAAACTTCTTTGAGATCGTTTTAGGGGCAAACCACAATCTTGGACTTTGGTATGCCAATCCGCTCAGGAGTTGAGGATAAGGTCCTGGCAGTTTGAGGGATTATTTACGAGGAGCCATTCGGGGCATATCCTGTCCTTGGCATGGAATGCGATCGACCTGAGAGGGACAAGAGTGCACTAATTTATCCCAGAATGAGGTTCCTTTCTTGGCTTTCGGATGCAGGTAAGTTAATCTCACTCATGCAGAGCCTGAGTCTACAACTGCAGAAGGCACAAGCCCCTCGTGGCGTGCGCGAGCGTTCGCTGTTGACACAATGTACCTACATGAACCTACAGGCCAGAAGGCGTCAGGGAGGGACCCTGGCCCACATGCCAAGCTGGGGCTTCTGAGAGGCTGATGTGAAATGGAGGCCCAACAGCAACAATAAAATTGCCTGCCTTCTAGAATCGCTGACCTTTGTTGGCCTGAGTCATGTTGTAAGCGAGATGTTTCCTGGGATCGCCCTTACATTCGCAGGTTTAGGTTTTTTCCAGGTGGTGTTCAGAGAAAAAGGTTACAACTGGTCAACACACTTTAGTTTGTGTTTTTCTCTTCTAACAAGTCAGTGGCAACTTCCTATTCGCCTCTCAGCCGAGACTTGTAACATTGGAGAGGCAGCTGCAAGGTGTGAGAGGCCTTTCTTGTGGCAACACTTGGCTGTTCTTGCGCAGCCAGTTCTCTCAAAAGATTGAGTTTCGAACGCGCTGGAATTACTCAAACACAGTCGGGAAGACTGAATCTCAGATATATGTTTCGACATCATTTTGCAGTTTCAAGTCCACATCATATTTTTTCTTCGAAAACTAAAAAAATACCAGGTCCCTTTCTTAGCTGAGCCTCGGCCCAGGGGCGTTGGGAGCTCCTCACCAAGGTCGGCTAAGTCAGTGCGCTGGAAGGACGGGCGGATGGGAGGTTTCGAGATCTTGAGTGGGTTGTCAAAAGGGAGGGGTGTGATTGGATTCTACAGAGGTTGTTTCGGGTGAAGGGTTCCTTTCGTAGGGACCTTCCCCTTAGATGCTTTCTCTGGAGCCACTAACAAGTCCCTCGCCAGAATTCTTGCACATTCCTTGAAGTCAGTGGCTGGATCCCAAACACGCCATCACGAGTGACCTAATCATCCTAAAGGTGAAAATGCAGGGTCACCTGCCGTAGTGTTAGTTGGAGTTCGCTGTGAACCCTGAGAGAATCACAGGATTTGTCTCCATCCGCAACCAGTAAAGGCAGTTCCTAACGATGCTGCAAGGCCTCACTCCCCACAGTTCCTGGGCAGACCTTTGAGCGGTAAAATCGGTAAACAGAAAGTTCGGACGTCGGGATCCTCCACTCGGGAAGCGAGTCTAAGGGTGTCGCTGGCAGCGTGAGCCAAGGGTTTTCTCGCGGCATTTGCGAGACCCTCTGCCTTCGACAGCTGCAGCTGGCAAGGCCGAACCGAACGGAGTTACCAGTGTGAGGGCTCACTCCTAGACGCCACAGTTCTTTTTTTTTTTTATTAAATAAAGTACTTGTTCCTTTATCCCCGGACTTCAACCTAGTGGTTCATGTATTCCCCTCAAGTTTGGCTTTTGAATTTGAACATTGCACAAAGACTTGGTAAAGCCCAAGGAGGGAGAAAAATAGGGGGTCAAAGAAGGAGTACATACGGTCTGCAGGCGTACTTATTTTGGACGTGTGTGAGGAATCTTTGCAAGAGGCAGACTTTGGCTTAGGAAAAGCTTCTCATGGGTGTGTCTACCAAAGGGACAAATCCTTTTGAAGAGGCCTCCTACTTGTTGATGCGCCCATGTTTCTTTTCCAGGAACGCGCACGGCTGATGGATGGTTGTTCTGATTGTTCAACCCCCCTATTGACCACCCAGCGCCCCACTCTGCCTACTTTATTGCGAGCTTACCGATCCGGGGTAAAATAAGCTCACCATAGGGTATGAATCCGGCCAGCCAAGATGTCAGGCTTTGGAGCTTCTCATTGTAACATGTTGCAGCCCGGTGTCTGGCTCCCAAAGCCGTCCGGTAGGGCTGCCCGAGAAGCAATCGCCTTTCCGCTGTTGGTACCAGAGTTCTCATACTTGTTCAACTGCAAGCGTTCCAGCTTGCAATCTTTTGTTTCCTGTCTTGTTTTGAGTTTGATTGGAACAATTGCGAAATTCTGCAGGTGATTCGCATGAAGTGCGAACCACATGTTGCAGTACACCAAATATGAAGCATAATTTGACATGCTAGAATTTTATGCCACGAAATGACACAGACTGATTGAAAGGCCTGATGGGCCGCGGCTTCTTCTGCTGGACGAGGCACGTTTCTGGGAGCGTAAGTAGTCACCTTTCAGTGGGGTTCAGATTGAACAAACAGGGTGCTTTCCATTGGTTTCCTCTTGGTTTCCCAAGACACCCCAGCTGCTTTCTTTGCTGACTTGGGAGCATCTTCAGGGAAGGGTCAAGGTTTGCAAGCAACCAGGGCCAGGGCATGCCAGGGCCCTTCCCAGCAAGGTCTAGACACGAAGAACGCGTCAAAGGTGTTCATGAGTGTTTCATTAGCCCAGTGGCCAAAGGCCAGTGCCCCCGTTTTTTCCCATGGTCACAGGGCACCTAAATATGGGGCGAAATTCTGTATCGTGAAGGGCAAACTGCAGGGTTAGACCCGAAACTCCAACAGCTATAAAGAGGTGCGACTTGTTGCCATGCCAATGTGGGAGTGTTGCGCCATAGTCCGATTTCACACCACCTTGAAGGCGCTAAGTTGATACTGGCGCCCCTCTGGATGAGTCAGCAATTTGCACATTTGCCCTTGGAGCAAATGTGCAGTGTGGGCTACTTTGGTGGGACTTGGTCCAGTACATGTTCCCAAATGCACAATTGCGAGGTACTAAGGAAGTTTTTACGTTGTCATCATCGGCCAATGCTCACCGTCGTTTACTGTATTGGCGGGATGCCATTGGACAGTACACCGACCACGAGCATTGGGAAATGGAGGTCGCACCATATGGGTATGGGTCAAAATCAAACCACCAGGGGACCGCAGGTTTTAGTCCTGGGTTGCATTTACCAGGGCCCCATTTTGGGTACTATCTCTGCCATGTTCCATCCCCAAGAAGTTGACGCTCCGTCTCATTCAGGTCTTCGACGCGATGCCCAGGCGTACGCACCCGTGTTTCCGCTGACAGAGTTGCAGTCGAGCGACCATTGCCAGAATGTTGCCTTAGCTTGGATGCGCAACCCAGTGGGTTACAATCATGGATGCCAAGGAACTCACCCCTATGGTTACGGGTAGAACACGAAGTGGGGTGTTCAGCTTGTGCAATGCGGAGATTTCCCATGTATAGGAGCCTGTTTTGCTAACCTCAAGCCTGCTTTTTACCTTCATTCTACCTTGTGTCTTTCAGGTCACCCTCTATGCCACTGCTTTCGCAGCGGCCGCTGCGCCAGGCCGCTTCGGCTTCCCTTTGCAGCCGACCTCTTCGCAGCAGCTGGGGCCTCGAGTCGAAAGCGCATTTGGCGGGCTTGGCGGACTGGGTTTCTCAAAACCTAAGGGACAGTAGGGCCAGAAAGGTGGACAGAACCCTAAGAGCCCCTTCTAAGAAGGTTCTGAGAACCTGTTTTTGAAAGCAAACTTTACTTTGCTCACCATTTTTACCCCTTTGGGGTTGTCTTACAAGAATCCACATTAATCCGGGTGTTTCGCCAATTCGGGTGTTCAGGTGGATCGCTTGTCAGCTCAGCTGAGGCTCGCAAGCTGCGCTTTGCGGCGGTGTGCGCTACACATTGCGCCTTGCTCGGGTCGGAATGCGCTGGATCTGAATGTTGCTCAGAATGAGGGAAAGCCTGAAAATAACAACTGTGTGCTTTTGGTGTCCCTTTAAAGCTGTGAGAAGCCCCCGTCCAAAAAACAACTAGCTTGCCCATCCAGGTTGAACGAGCCCACCAATAATTCAGGTCCCATAGTAGGATTTGCAAAGGGATTTGCCTTATTCCAGGTTTGCCAATGTTTGTCATTCGCTCAGACGAAATGCAACACGGGCACACATTTGGGAACAAAGAACGAGATCCTTGAATTGTTCAGGGCTCTTAGTCTGACCAGGTGTCGTTTCGCAGATGATTGTGTTCCGTGGAATGCCCAGAGAAGAGCGGACCCTACTATGGCGGAAATGAGAGAATTACCGTGACTGTTTGATGTTCAGCTTTGGTGGCCTGTGAACGCAAAACACACAAACACACGCTTGATGAATACCCCATTTACCCCTCCCCTCCTTAGACAGATCATGGCCATGGGGGTTCTACCGGTGCCTGATTTCGGCACATCATCACCGTCATCACAATCGTTATCATCATCGTCGTCGTCATCATTTTCTTCTACGGAGCCCGCTGCCCCCTATTTAAATGGAGTTGCGGGGGAGGCTGCCCTTGGAATGCTACGTACTGTTGCATGTCCATCTTAAACGTTCCTTTAGGGAACTGCATTTATTGTTCCATTGCCCTGCCAAATATCGCTTTTCGGGGGAGACTAGACACATGGACTTGGCGATCCAGTGACAGAAATCCCCAGCCGCGACGGAGTTTTGAGCGAGGCTTGGCATCGGAGGTCAGCTGGCTACAAGCCGCCGACCAGGCATCGGGTTGACGCTCTGCTATGTTAGGCCGGGATGTTGAACCAAATCATCAAATCGCTTTACCCTTTCAATAGAATCACCCCTTTGATATTTTTCCCCAGACTGCAAATCACCGAGCAGTGGTTTTTCCCCAGACCCGAAAACTCCCAATGCTGAATTAGGCTTAGATAATACTACACCAACCCTAAGTCGATACTGAACCAAGACAACTTGAAGCAAGCACAAATCCAAAACATGGCTTGTTACATTGCCGCTGGTTAAACTCCTTATTCGGACATAGCCAGTATGAATTATTGTTGGGCTCGGAAAGGGGGGGCGCATTTGGACGAGGACCTTAGTGGCACCCTTCTGGGGTACTGTGCCTATGTTATCGGGGTTGGTTGGTATTTATCATAAGGGGCAGGGATTATTTGAGCAGGTCACAACCATGCTTTCAAATTGCAAATAGTATACATATATATATATATAGATATATATTTTGAGCACAAATGCGTGTTGTCCCACTCATCTCCGAAATTACAGCCTAATTACTTACTACGCAACTGTCGAACATTCAAGAACCCTCTTCGAGGCTCAAAGTGCAACCAGGCTCCCGGACGGGCCCTTTTTTGACAGTGGTTGTCTTTTTTCTCAGTTGCCCGAAGCAAGTGGACCTGTTGCATCCTTTCGCAATGCTGTTTCCACGGTTTGGACAAGTGAGTTGCAGACAGGGAGGCATGGTGGCAGATCTGGAAACTCCAGCAGGTTTCCCACAACTCAATGGGTCAAAATGAAACCACCAGGGGACCGCAGGTTTTGGTCCATGCGTCCACTTACGAAGGTTCCATTTGGGATACCGATTTTTGACCCACAGCCATGTGCTCGCGCACGATGTTCCAAGAGGGTAAGAGTCAGGGCCGTTCTGATGGGTGCCACCTGCGCACCTACGCTAGCGGAAAAGCAATCCGAGCAAACACTGTGAAAGCCCACGTGAGCGTTACCCAAAAGCTCCATTGGCTATTGTAGAAGGAGTGTTTACCCTTTGTGTGGGTAAGTATTGGGGATGACTAAACCAACACTGGGGGGAATGGTGCCATCCACTTTCACCTGTAAATGGAAGCTGAAGAACTTGGGGGTTCCCATATCCTAAAACTCTATAGCATCTTGCCTTAAATTTGGCGCAGGTGTGCATCTTGGAGGCTGGCCGACTCCGCAGTCTCTGCTCGGGCCCACAGCGCCGACTGTCGGCCAGGTAACAGAACGGGCTTTGAGCGAAGGAGGTGTGTTCCAATCGAAGTGAACAAAATCCGCTTCGCACCAGTAGGTCAGTGGTGCATCCCAGTATTTCAACAGCTATTGAATTTTTAGGCATTTCCTTGGGTTGGTCGAGATAGCCGACCAAAGTCTGGTTGTTGAAGCAATTGTGCAATGCTAAAGTCAATGTCCCCTCAAATTATTCGACAAGGGCGTGTTTGATGTAGCAGAGCAGTGAGGCTTTGATTGAAGGGAAATGACCCCGGTTTCTGACTTTGTCGACCCCGGCAATCAAACAAGTCCCGGAAGCGGTCGTATATGTGGGGGTCTGCTAGTGGCCACAATTCGCACGGCGTTCAAGTCAACGTGCGGACTCATGGACATTTATCGCAGGCAACGCTCCCGTTTGAGGGTGAATAGACATATATCAACATACCCCAAATAGGCGGTCTTCCTTTGGTTTCATTTTGAACCCAAAGAAAGTACTCGCCAAAATCGCCCATGTTCCTCCCGAAGTGCTTCGAGGTCCAAAGGACCCTGGCCACTTTGCGGAGATCCAGCAGTATGCCGCCCTGCGAGCCCGTGCGGAACCCGAGCATCGCTGGGCGGAAGGAGAAGGGTTTCCAGCCCTGGAATTC